TACCCTAAAAATCCTATATATAATATATAAAACTCGTATTTATTACTATTTAAATATAAGTTCTATTATTATAATCTTTATAATATACTACGTATAAACTCTTTATATACTACGTAATTATTATTATATATTAAAATATTATCTAAGTATATAATATAAATAGTATTAACTAAGCCGCTTAAAACGTTATTAATATATACTTAAAACGTCGCGGGCGCGTTAGTTAGCTTAAAAAGTACGACTAAATACTCGAACTACTTATATTTAATATAAAAAGCCGTTTTTTATTTATTACCCTTAGTTATATATATATAATAGTACGCGTTTTTAAAGTTTAGTTTTATAAAAGTAAAAATATTAAATAGTCTATTTAATATCTTTTTAATTAATAATAGTAGCGTTCTATTTTTTTATATAATCTTATTAATTATTTTATAATTAATATAAAATCGTAGCTCTCCTCTTTTTTTAAATATAAAAAGGATAAGTACTCTTATTAAGCTTATAAAAGGGCATATTTAGCCCCTAGCCTCTATTTTTATTAAATAGTTATATAAAATCTCGAGTTTATAATTTAATAATAAATAAATAAGTCCCTAGGGAATAAGCGCTGCGTTATTTAGCTTAATATAATAGTTATATAGTACTTTATTTAATGATAAATAGCCTTTTTTTTTTAAAAAATAAGTTATTAAAATCCTAATAACGTAGTTTTTAATTCTTAGCTACGCTTATTAATACTACGTCGCTATTTATAACTAAGTTAATTACGATATATATAAGTATTACTAAAACTAAGTTATTTAATAGCCCCTTTTTTAAAGTATCTAAGCGAATATATCGTTTATAAATTAGATACTACTACTTTTTTTATTTTTAACTAATTAGTAAGTTAATATCCTCTAATTAAAAAAAACTAAAAATAAGTATAAGTATTATAATATTAATTATTAGGAAGTAATATTACTATATTTCCGTTACGTAGTTATTATTAATAATTCGAAATTATAAATAATAGCTTCTTAATATTTTTATTTATTTACTTTTAACGTTTATTAACTATAATAATAAGTAAATTCGTAAATTAATATTAAAATTATTAAACAGCCCGATACTAATTATATTCCTTTTTATTTCTAAATTAATAAGGGCGTTTAGCTTCTCTTATACGTAGTTTAGGTATATATAAGTTAGGATATCTAAGCACTACCCTTATTAATTACTAACTACTCTTTTTATTAAAATAGTATTCAAGCTCGTTACTAATCTACGCTACTTAGTTAGAATAAGGTCTAATTAATAATTAATAACTTTATACCCTTTTTAGTTATATTTATAATATATAACGCTCGGGTAGTTATTAATAAAGTACTTAGTTTTATTATAATTATAATATTACTAATACTACTCCTATAATTATAAATAATCCCTTATAATATTACTAATCTCTTTATAATTATAATATATAATATCCTTATTAAGCGAGTTATAGTATATTCTTTACGTATTTAACTTATTAATACTTTAATATCGTTTTATTAACTTGTTCGAATTTATATTAAAATATTACTTAGGGAGCGTTCGTAAGCTCTTTATTAATAATAAGGATTATTTAATACGTCTTATTAATAATATTAATTATAAATAAGTTTATAAAAGTTCTATTTATAATATTATTACGAGGTATAGTTCGGGCCATAGCTTACTTATTAATATAAAAATCCTTTATTTTTCTATTAAAATATATTCTAATTCTATTTTAAGCTTATTAATATAGCTAACGAACTCGTTAACTTTTTTTTTTAATTTTATAAAGTATTATTTAGTTATATATTTATTACTATTCCTTAGTTAATAAAATTAAATAAGTTATTTTATAAAAAGGTCTCTAATTCCTCTTATATAACTTAGTTTATTATAAACCCGGGGGTCCTTTAATAATTAAAAATATAATATATTTAAAAGGTTTTTATACTACTACTTAAATAGCTAATTATATATACTATTTTATTATAATTTATTTTTATTTATTAAGCTTATAAATTAAAATAATAATAGTAATTAAAAAAAAAGCTCTATTAATCCCGTATTAATTTATTAATATATAATAAGTTAAGAAGGGATAGTAGTTTAAATATAAACGTTCTACTTATAATACTTATTTAAGTTAAAAAAGAATTAGTAAATAAGAGCTTAAATAGTACGAACTTGTCGCTTTGTTATTACTTAAGTAGCGCTTTAAATATAGCTTTATTTATTAAACTATTCTTAGTCTAGGAGTTTACGTTCTTATTTATATTAAAACTAATATTTAAAATTATTATAATTAAAACCGTAGCCCTTAGTACGAGGGCCGGGCTATTTAAAAAGCTTTATAAGTATTTTAAATTTACTTATTTTTTATATAAATACTCTTTATATATTATAATAAGGATTTTTTTTTTTAATTATCGTTCTTATTCTTATAGTTCTATTAGCTTATTATTTATTATTTAGTTTAAATATTAATAAATAAGGGTAAAAAGTTTACTATTTTATTTAAAATTCGTTAATACTCTTAGTAATACGGTTCTTTTTTATTATTATTATATTATTTATTTTATTACGCTTCGTTTTTATACTATTTATTAAAAAAGAGGTAATTATAGGGGGTTTAATAAAAAAAAATCGTCTTTTTTTTATTATTATAATACTAATTACGCTCTTTTATTACGTTTTATTCTTATTAATATTTTAAACTTCTAACTTAGTCCCCTTTATAAATAAAATCTTTAAACTATTAATAAATATATAATATAAAAAAAAAGCTTATAGGGGCTAATTATTATTAAGGTTTAAAAAATAAATTATTAAAATTTACCCTTTTTTTAAAGTATATTACTAATACTTTATATATACCTAAGCTACTCCTTTATTACTTAGTCCCCCTTTTTATACCCCCTGAGCTATCCCTTAACCGACGAGGCCTAACCGGCGAGGCCTAACAGAACAGACCGGTGGGGCCTTGTTGGCAGACCTCCAAGCGCTGGAAGCCCTGCATGGTAAAACACCCTCTCAACGTTCTCAGGCTGACGACGTCTTGAGACTGACGACGTTCTGAGACTCATGATGGTCTCAGAGTGACGATGGGTAGTCGACTAGCCTTGAAGGAGGGGAAATTGAGGTAGCGCAGAATGGGCTGTTTTACAGACCCTGTCACCTCCCAATTATCCATTCTCTGCCCTATGCTTCAATGCATCTACATCGCTGCTATTCATCCAGTACAGAAATTTCAGGTCGGTGCTATCGGCCAGAATGCGACTGGTGAGCATGCCAGATCGGCGAACCGTGGACTGACCAGGATCAGACGGGTCGTTTGCCGTGTGGTATTGGCTCACGGTCACCCCTCATGAGTGTCGGAAATTATTGATTTCGTGGAGAGTGATGTGTTTTAAAGATCATCCTTCGGGTGTGGCAGACGATTATGAGAACGACTTTCTGCCACAAGGCTTAGACGCTGTTGTAACTTTCGAATTTGGGAGACTTCGTGGCCCCGTGTAGCCGTCAAACTCAATAATGGACCGTTTCCAAATCAAGAACTGCCAAAAATACTATCGGTACAAATTCGACTTAGCTTCCGCCATATTTGCTGTACGGAAATTTCGATATGCTACTGTCCTGATCATCTCCAAATTATCCCCTGATCCTCCAACTCGTATATTTTCGTTGCTCATATTCCCACATTCCAACGCGTATATCTTCTGTCGGTCTGACTGCGCCCCGAACACGTGCGTTTCTCTCAAAGCCGAATCCTGAGAGGCAAATAAATTCGCTGGGTGTTCTGCGGTCTTCAGTATACTGTTCCAGCCACGCGCATGGGTGGCTTGGCTCTTGCCCATTGAAGCTGCAGAACGAGGTGCCCTGCTATCGAGTTGGCTGTAGGATGTAACTTGCTATAAAAGTGGCTAAAAGAGGTGCCGTCGAACTGGATGGAGATGAAATTGACTGGAGAAAGTCAGTGGGAGTGGAGGTGCCCGACAACACGAAATTGCCGTACTGACGGAAGTTCTGGCACTTTCCCGTTTGACGAGCCGCTCGATGGACTTGCCGTACCGTACTCATCGTTGCGTGCGTCGAGGAGCTATGCCCCGCAAACGATGCCGTTGTGTCCGTTGACGAACAGAAGCTTTCCGGCCGTAAGTAGAGCGTCTCTTCGTACAAATACAGGACCGTTTCGGCGTGGTAAGTTCGTGATCGCGTAGGACAGAAAGGAAGTCTATCGTTGAGCGGGATGCGAAATGAAGGGTACGGGGTACTCAAATGGGGAAAAGTCGAGGGTCAGAGCTGACAGTAAGCACGCAGCAAGCGGAAGATACCGGCAGTGAGGAGGGTCATTGTTCAGTTCGTATGGATATTCTCAAAGAGATCTGGTAGAAGTTGGGTATCTGGGCAACATTTGGATCTCGGCGGTTGTGCATCAGGGCAAAAGCCATCTGCTAAGAGCCCTGGCGGAAGGAATGAGGGTAAACATTCTGGGACGCCCTGTCTCAACGGCCAGCGGTTTGGTAGTGGAGATCTTGTCGGCGGAGCTGTCTCCGCAAGTAACTATGGGAGAAAGGAGCTTGCTGAAGTGACCTTTCGGAGGAAAGCCTACTGGGGAGGCTGAGGAGTTTGTGAAGTGATCCTTCCGTAGTGGATTTTCGGGGGAAGGAAGTCGCATGGCGTATTGAACTGCCGTCTTCTCAGCGGGCTGAGGAGTTGTTGGAGGAAGCTTTCCCGGTGGCCAGCGATCTGGCTGAAGTAATCTCACGTGATGTAACGCGCTCGTGAAGCTTTAATCTGTGTTCCGCAGTCGAGTATTGATTATTAACACAGAGTCCGTCGTCATCCTACCAGTCAGCCTCAACGACCTAGACAGTAGGTGAAAGAGCTCTAGCTCTTCTGTTGAGTGTGCTCTGGCTAACCTATAACAGAATCAACCACTATTCCATACGTACAAGGACGCATGATTCGGGGCTATTTCAACAATCGGAAAACCAGAAGCTGCTTTCATGGTCCATGCTCGACACCATGGCTGGGAAGGGGTTTTTTCGATAGGAAGGCGGCTCGCGGGCTTTCAAGCGATTTAGCTGATGTCTGACGTCTGATGTCTGATACCTGCAGCTGAATATCCCATCATCAACCAGGTCACCGTCATCTTCCACAGCTTCGGGGACGAGTGAAGGGGAGAGAGCAACAACTACGTCGTCAACTACAACGTCGTCACCAACCGCATCTTCGTCGATTCCGATCGTGAAGACGCTGGTGACATGGTCGAGGAGACCTCCCGTCTCGAGTCGCATAAGGTGTACGAGACCAAGTTTGGGCTGAGAGTCTTGAGACTGCCTGGAGCACTTGGTTTTGTGGACGTCCAGCGACGCCCGAGTTGCGCCCAGTTGCAGCTCTCGTATGGTGATGATTCCGCTTTTCCCTTTGATCGTCGCCACATATGCCTCAGTATAGCTCGCTCCAACAGTGCTTGGACAAAGCCAAGCTCAGCCTACACTCGTGGCATGGTCTGTCCACCTTTAGCGCCCGCCCTCATCTTAGATCCAGTGTAAGGAGCAGACCCTCGACCAGGTCACACAAAAGACGCCAACTGACATCCTTCTATCGGCCCATCTACTCCGTCAGCATGTTATTAGTCTCTTTACCGAGAGTATTCGGGTAGGATAGGAATCGGCGGCGGCCGGCCTGATCGAGAGAGTCTTGGGGTAGCCATTGCCACGCTTGTTGTCGCAATATAATCCCGCCTGAAGAATCCGTCAACGAAGCCTGTCTGTATTTGACTGCTGACTACCTCGGCGTTCACCAAGAACTCGTCAGTCAACCGAAGGCCCATGAAAGAGCACTGCGGTGGGCTCCTGTACGTCAAGACCTTCGTATAGAATATATCGCAGAGCTTGATGCTGAACTCCAAGTCGTTGTCGTAATCCGTGACCTGTACGTTCATCAAGAGCGAGATGACAACAGTTACGTAGCATCACGAGCTCTTGACCTCGAGTATCATTAATACTTCGTTTGGCTTTGGGGGGGTTTGTTCCTTTCTTAGCCACGACCGGGTGCTTGTATCAGGCTCTGAGCTGGCACGCGGTTAGCTGGTAACATTTGACGGTGGATGGTATTAACTTCCCTCGCTTCTTAGAGTTGACACCCGTGTCTATCATCCTCGGGTCCTTGTTCAAGATCTTCATTGGGACGTCCTTTATGGCGACGTTCTCGCAGCTCTCCTACAGGCGTCATTAACCTTCGTGATGATGCCGGAGAATAGTCTGGCCTTGCTGACCTTCTGGTTCCCTGGAACTTCCCAAGACCGATTGCGTACCTCATGTGCGGGATGTCATTTGAGGAAGTGAGGGCTTTTTGTGACTTAGGCCCCCTCGTTAGGAAGCGAGCACTTGGTAGTGATAATGACATTGACGACGACGACAGTTGCGGGCCTGCTAATGCATTTGTGATTGATCTTGACGAGCTGCTCCACCATTTGCTTGGGTTCGTTAGCGCTCGACCCGATGTTCGTGCCCAGGACGTACTAAATGGGCCTGACGGTCTCCACGCTTCAGCTCGTTGCAGGCTGCTTCATGGGCATTGCCAAGGTCATGTTCTAGACCTTGACCTAAAATAACTTCGCCAAGCTCGTAACAGCGTCTTCTCCTCAGCCCCCAGGGTTTCGGTAGTCCCGTTCGCCTCCGACGTCGCATCCGCAAACTTGTCCGAGTGATTATCGCTTTCGTAGTCATCGTTATAATCGCCGCTGCTTTCGTCTTTGCGATTCTCGTCTTTGCGGCTCTCGTCTTTGCGGCTCTCATCTTTGCGGCTTACGTCGTCGCCACCGTCCCCGTGATCATGGCCATGTTCGTCCTCGCCCTCCTTATATCCTCCCTTGTCCTCTCCCTCTTCGTCATCGCCATCTTCAACAGGCTTCTCCATCTTCCGCTTTCCTGGGACCGGGTCCGGGCGCCTACCCGTCTACCCCAAGCTCATGGCGTCCTGTATCTCGTCCGTCCTCGTTACTAGCTGCGGAGGCGTCCTGGTCAGCCTTCTTGACGTTGATTATCCTGGCATTCGTCTGCCTGGGGGTGTTGTAGATTCTTTCTAAACGAGCTCTTCTTGACCACCTCATAGCATAGTAATCTCTGGTTTTGGAGTTGATGGTGAACTCGGGCGTCAAGCTCTCAACGACGGTCTATACGATCCTGTGATCGTGTGTGTGTGTTCATTCGAAGACCTTCAAGTCAATGGCGGGCGAATTGGCTTTCTTCATGTCCGAAGCATATATTGGGGCCGTAATCTTTGTAGCTATCAGCATATACGTTAGCAGGGTAACCGTATGATTGGCATGAAACGTCAATAAAGTGGTGTGCATTGCTGCGTATGGAGGTTGAAGGGTCGTTGGTGTGGCCCCGACCGCCTTCCCGACCCACCCTACCCGCCGACTGCCCAGAATCCAACAGCACCTGGTCTTCAACGGCCCGAGATACCTCGCGTATTCTCTGTACCCTAACGGTGTTTTCGAGAGGCTGGATGGCATGGCCTTGAACGCCGTCGCTCGTCTTCACGTCCATGCCGCACTTCACACCATCGCTCACGTCGCGGCCTTGCACTGGAACTTAGCCGACATCCAGTCGTGTGCCCAACCCCCGGTGATATTTTTCGCGGCCTTCTTGAAGAAGCGCGTATGTCGTGTTGGCCTTGTAGACCGTCATAGCCGCGGACAGGAACTGGACAAGGGAGGTGTTGGTGATCTAGCCCATGTACACGAGCATCTTCTCTGACATTTCCCTGTCCACGTGGTAGACCACGAGCCTCCTGTCGATGGTGTTGACGATGAAAGGCTTATCGTTGACCGGAGTTGGTTGCTGACGATGCGAGTCGCAGGAACCCCGTTTCTCCGGTCGTCCAGGGTCACCGGCGTCCCGGACGTCCACCTCTTGATGTTGCTGTGAGAGAGAACATCGCTGATGACGTACTTGTCGCAGACCAGGAACCTCTTCTAGACATGTTGTTCACTACCTACAAGTCCGACAGCACGGTCTTGGCTGTTAGTAGACGTAAGACACAGGGCAGAAGCTCACAGAGGCCATTTGCTGTTAGGTTCAAAAGGATGAATTACTGAAATCTGCCCATCCCTAGACGTATAACCCCTGCGCTGACGTTTGTGCTGGAACAATGGGTATATATTTCAAGGCGAAGGGAAGGAAGGGTTCTCTGGTGCCAAAGGAAAGAGACGCGTCTCTCGACTCGTCAAAGAGAAGTTTCTTCCCTGTATGTCATTAATCCCAATTTCCAAGTCTTGCAGATGCAGCGGCAATTTTCCACATAAGACGTGTCCCTCTTCACAGAAATTGTTCCCCTACACCTTATTATCCTCCTCATATTTCCTATACTCCCTTCTCCAAATATCCTTAACAACATCCGCAAGGCTCATCGCCGGGATATGCCGGCTGATGTTCCTGGAGTTGTCGACTCCCAGTGGCGGCGCAGCGGCCGATTCGACCTTCAACTAGACTCCAATTGACCCTCCAACCTACGGCTGGAAGCTCATTTTCACACACCACACAAAATCAATCAAGAGCCAGCAATTGACCCTTCACCACCCACAGAACCCGGAGTTCGAACCGACTACCCTGTGACAGGGATATCAACAGTTTGCCATGTCATCTGTGTGCTCGATGCAAGCGAGGCTGTGAACGTCGTCGGATCGGGCATAGCCCTAAGAGCTCAGAGACTCGGCCTTGATGCCTGTCTTGGCTCTCGTCGTCCGTGTCGATGAATGAAGTATTTGTTTTCGGACAGAGGCAGATGATCTGATCGTTTTGGGCATCGGGAGATAAGATCAAAGTTGTTTGAGGCTCGTGGCTCTCACGCCATTCAGATCGAAAGACTGCTGAGAGGCAGGATCATTGACGGGCCCGGACCGCTAGATCGACGTGTCAGTACAGGAATGCAAACGTATCCACCATATTGGTCTTGCCTTCATGGACGTATCTGCCAAAAAATATCACTACCGCAACAGCGCCCTCCTCGGCGTTCGCCAAGGACCTTCCTACTCTTCACATGAAGTTGGGCTTCTGGTCGTCCCCGACGGGCAACAGAATCTTATCAATGACCTTCTTATCCATGTGACCGTGCACATGAGTGGGGGTCTCGGATAACGAAGAAGAGCAGCGACCTCAGGCTCGACCTGTATGTTGTGTTAGCGAGCGATAGGGTTGGCCCAGACGCAAGGGCGACTTACTGCTTGCAGACGAAGTGTACGTCCACCTCGACCGGCGTGATGGCGAGGGACGACATAATGATGAGACTCATCACGAACAGTTGCCGGTCTTGGTCTTGGAGATGGAGGACCAGATCTTGGTCAGGTCCTGGACCAGGGTGTTGCGCAGGTTCGCAAGGGGCGTCGTGCCAAGGTGGTCTCGGATCACGAGAAAGAGCAGTGATCTTAGGCTCGACCTGTGTGACGTGTTAGCGAGCGGTGAAATTTCCCTCATGCAAGGACGACTCACCGCTTGTCCCTGATGAAGAGCTGGACCTCGAAGGGCTCCGAAAATATCGGTCAACGAAGAAGAATAGCAATCTTAGGCTCGACCTGTATCGCGTATCAGCGAGCGGCGGGGCTTGCTAAGTGTAAGGGCAACTTACTCCTTGTCTTTGAGGAAGAGCTGCATGTTTTTGACCTCGAAAACGGTCTTGAACAGACCCATGTTGGCACCGTTGTACAGGCCAATCAGGTCTTCCACAGGTCAAAGGTTGACAATCAGGACCCCACTGAGTGCCCGGGCAAAGAGGACTCCATTCCTCTCGAAATCCTGGTCCTCGCCACAGTCACGGCCCCTGGGTGGAAGGAAGGGAAGCTGCGGTTTTGGTGGTTCGACTCATGCAGCTGAGCACTCAAAGTAGCTGGTGTTGGATAGCAGTGTCGGCTTCCACGAGATCTGAACGATGTATAGGTAGACGAAGACAAAGGACAAGGTCAGCGTTGCGACGTATGTGCTTGGAGCGATTGTAATGCTCAGCAGGGAAATATTGTTGTTGACGGTGACCAGCGACGGCATGGAAAGCATAAGGGTCAGAATAGGTTGGGCGCGCGACCCTCTCGTAGGTCCCGTAACTGCGACGGTCTAACGTAGTGCTGTCCATGCTGTCGCTGGTCTCCGTCAACAACAACGTTTCCCTGTGAGCCGTCTGGTTGATGTGTCTGTGTGTGTAGGGTTGAGGTTGAAGTTGAGGTTCTGTCGTAGAAGGTGGTGGAAGAAAGGGCAGCTCATGAGGTGTAGCTGTGGTTGGAGCTCTTGCTGATTTTCTCCACATGACAGTACCAATGACTTCCGGCCTCTAGGTAGGTACGCAGTTGATGGGAAGGCCGACCTGCCAGCCAGCGATGTTCGTATCTTTGCTCCTTCTCGCTGCAGGTGCACCTCCAGGTAAGGTAGGTACCTGCCATTGTCGTGGTTGCGTCATCGGACCTTATCTTGCCTTTTTGCCTTGGTTTTGCTCTTTGGTGGTTGAGACTGCCTTAGAAGGTGCCAGTTACTCATCCTTCCGTAAACGTCCATTCATCCCATTGCCTTCCCCTTCCTTTGCTGCAGCGGGCTTTTGTCTTCTGGAGGCGGTGCTGCATGAGCTTTTACGACCCCGTCTTCCAGTGAACCTGCCAACGACATCGAGCTCGTGCATCAGATGAAGTAGGTACGTCAAGCTGTTCGCCACTGCCAGCAACTTCAAGCACGGCAACCTCGTCAGGTCCTTCTCCTAGTTTGACATTGCAAACGAGTCCCCACCCCACGCAGGGAAGCTGTCCACGACGTACGTGGCGCCGTTCTTATCGGCCCTCACCGAGAGCTGCATCTTGGATGTGTGCTGGGTTATGTACTTCAGTTGTGTATGCAGCATGCTCAGCATGATTCTGCGCATAGCTCTACAAAACTCGCTGCGCGTCAGAACGCGGATCTGAACGCTAGTGCGAGTACCATCCAGGTAGATGGACTGAGCTATAGGACAAGCAGGACGATCCCCGGCGTTATCTTGTAAGTCGTCAGGAACAGGATGGAGACAAGGACATGGGATTTGCAGAGTCCCTAGACTAAGTTGCTAACGAGAAATTTTTGGACTTGAACTGACTGAATCTTAGATGGCTGGATGTCATGTGGTAGGTAGGGTCCAGGATAGCGCGCGGAAAGAACAGGATAGTATTGCACACCATTTTGACCATTCCCACCCCGGCTGAGATTTTGGCGAAAGCTGACGTGGATAATGAGGACCGCGATCGTGTAATCACTAGTCTGTCAAGCCGCGACCATATCCAGCATCCAGCTCTAGACCTCCTTGGTGTGGGCCTACGCCAACTTCTGGGTGTCGTTTTCCGGACTCCGAATCACCGTACCGGAGCGGCGTTTACTTACTCTATGCTCTGTGTCTGCACGTATTTCATACTGACTTGACCATCCCGATCCCAACGAAGTTTATGTCAAATGTGAACGCTGACAATCCCGACCACAGAACCGGGACCTTACCGAGCTTTAAGAACGAGTTATGCTGCTGAGAGCGTGCTCGATCTACGGGACTGTCTCCAGCGGCAAGGTGGTCTACGAAATGATCGAGATGCTGAGCCCGGATGTCATCGCGATCCACAACGGTCGGCTTCGACTTGAAGACCGTTGAACGTCACCGTCGTCGTAGGCTCTAAATACGACGTGAACAAGGACGTGGGGTCGAGTCGAACCTCCATCTATCTGGATAGCATCTCGACCGAGTTGAGGCTCCCCAAGAAGAAAGAAGCTCGGGCCCGACAACATGATGACGAACATGGACGACGAACATGGACGACAACTAACGCCGTGGTCCAGATGATGATGTCAAACGTCAGGGGCTTAGACTTGCACGCCCTTGTAGCCGGGAAGATGAAGGCATGCGACGGGTTGTACAGTCTGGCCAGGATATCGAGGAGCACGTTTCTGGACACCATCACCGGCAACTCCGAGCTCATGGCCTTTTGGCCTTTTGCTATACCGCTCCTGTGCCCAAGGCCATGAACATAACGCTAGACATGGCCCGGCAAACTACTCGCTATATATCCTCAGACGGACTTCGTCTTAAGACAGCCATCGTCCTAAACCATCCATCGTCTTCAGACAGCCGTCGTCTTAAGACAGTCGCCGTCTTTAACTAGCCATCGCCTTGAGACAGCCATCGCCTCCAGACAGTCAGCGTCTTAAGACAGTCATCGTCTTGAGACAGTCAGCGTCTTGAGACAGTCGGCGTCTTCAGAAAGCCATCGTCTTAAGGCAGCCCTCGTCTTAAGCTAGCTATCGTCTTGACCTAGCCATCGTCTTAAGCCAGACATCGTCTTCAGACAGTCGGCGTCTTGAGATAACCTTCGTCTTCAGACAGCCATCGTCTACGGCTACATCATCTTAGAGCTCGGGATACATGTCGATAAGGATGTCTTCAACAGGACGCTAGATGGTCTTGCGTAGAAGCTACTGATACATAAACATGCCGCAGCTCCCACCCGACGTCACGACCAACAACACAATCGACCAAGGAGACCAAGTCTTGATGATGGACGGTACAGGGTACTTGTACATTGTAAAAGGCTGTTCCACGTTATTCGGTGAGGTCTTACATGACTTGACCAAAGGGAGAGCGACGATGAAGGCGGAGGGGAACATGAACAGGAATGCAGGGTACAAAATACTGACAGTGAGCGCTTTCGACGCCGCGGCCAGCAGCTTCGGCGTCAGCAACTCCACAATGTGCGCCATAATTGTTATGGTCACTGCCAGATACTACATGAGGGACATGGTCAAGGTCGCCCGGAAGCTGGGCTTCAACATCATTTACGGCGACATCGATTCGATCCTCGTCCGCGTCGAATGGAGACAGAGCACGGCTGCGAGGATACGGCCCATCTCATCACGCAGTCCGTCGTCAAGGACATAAAGGGGACCATCTTCGCGGAGGTCGGAGCGGGCGTCGAGGCGAACTACAAGCCCACAAGCATATCGGCCAAAAAGAAGTACAAAGACATGAACTGAGACGACATGTGTGACACCGAGGGCTTTCGATGAAGATTGTAAAGAGGGTGCGACTTATGCAGAGTGGTTTCAGTCCTCCACGGGGAGAAATCTGTCGGACGCCAACAAAGAGGCGTATATCCTTTCGGGGATCGTCAGGACAATCATGATGGCCATCCAGGAGGGGTTTGTGGACGCGGACTGAGCCATCTCGGAGACAAGGATCCCGGGCTAGCCGCACCATGTCTACGAAGATAGCAGATGGAAGCAGCAGAAGAGGCAGGCCGGGTTAAGGATATGTCCGTTTGACATGCGTAAGAAATGGGTGAGGTAGAAGATAGTGTCGGAATCGACTTCATTCTCGTGTCCGTGGGCACAGATAACGTCGGGCAGCTGATCTTTGTGTATAATATGCGAACAAAGATATCCGCGAGAACCGAGGGGTTCAGAAGGGCAGATGGGGCCGCAGACGTAGTCGAGACCGGGAAGGCCTGGATCAGCAGGGTCCGAGGTTGAGATCTCCATCATCGTCGTGCTGTGCTGGTGGACGGATACCGACTGGGGTGACACCTGGAACGCCAATACGACTGGCGACATGATATACAACGATGAGATGTGCATGATCGAGCAGCTACCTACGGAGTTCTGCTTGGATAGTCCTTATTCCCAACCTGGAGCTCTTGCTCGTCACCAAGTCCTGTGCGAGCGCGTACTACGATGGCGGAGTCATTGTAGCTGTGGATTCCGTCATCTCCGAGAATGGCAGCAGTGAGTCCCGCCCGGTCAGATGTATGCGACGTCCACTTGGGCTCGATAGTCGGTCACGGCTCAATAGTGGACAGCGTGGGCCTGACCGTCAGCTTGGTTCTGTGCAGGGTGAATACAAGAACATGTCCGCAACCAAGGTGCTAGCGACGCTAGAGAAGTACAAGAGTGTTTCGACCAAGTGGTCCAGTCCGAAGTCAACGTCTTTGGCGGCTCCACTGTCTCCGTCAAGCTATCGCTCAAGGCTATGTGGCTGGGCTGGACCGTTTTCAAAGACAACACCCCATGTTCGTGGCCGGGGTATGCGTCAGGTTCATAACGTTGGGGACGATCTCAGGTGGCGCGGGAGATGCCGTGGGGGTCCAACATGTACCACACCGAGATCGTTGACAGATGGAGGATATAGTGCGAGCCCAACATGCCGATGGTGCACGTCTTTGGGAAGGCAAAGGCCTTGGTGATCTCGTTGTCCAGCGGTGTACTGATCAGGCCCATCAGGCTCTTGGCCGACGGCAAGAAGTTTCACGACTTGCGTTGAACAATGCGACACGATGGAGTGAGACCTGGACAAGTTCTTCCCGACCCACGACGTGAAGCCGGGCCAGGTGGCGTCCCCAATCGCGCTGCTGATCCCATTCTGCAGGTTCTCCGTGGAGCCCAAAAACCAGCTTGGACATGGGGATGATGAAGCACGCCCCTGCCCCTTGCCAACCAAGGGCGACAATACCATGTTGACGAACAGCCACGGTCGGCCCATGGAAATGACATGGCTGCCGGGAAACATGGCTCATCACGAGTCCAAGGGGTCTAAAGTTGTTATCCTGGAGGTGGATGCGGCAGTGACGTTTAACGTCGTGCAGCAGAAAAGTCGAGGACGAATGCATGATCTCCGATGAGTGTCGCTACGTCGGAGCAGGTCTCGTGGTATGGCGTAGTCGACTGCCTCTACCCGACTCCTGGCGTCTGTTCAGTGGGATCATGGTATTGACTAGGAAGAGTGGTGGAGGCCTAAGATGCCGAGTTGGTCCTGAGGACGTACGGAAACGGGCTCGGGGGTGATGAACGCGGTTGTGTGTGTGTGTGTGTGTGTGGAAGAAGAACTGTTGGTATACAAGTCAGCAGGGTAATTGTGGTGTTGAACTTCGTGACGGGGACGTGGAAGGAGGAGGTTGGTGGGCAGAGCCCAAGAATCCTCCGCTAGGTGTATGGAAGTGGAGCGAAGGGCCGTTTGCTTCTGCCATCAATTCCAACAAGAACCTCGAGATTAGGGACAAGTTGGCGAACTGGTATGGGCTTACGTTCACGGTTGGCTCAACGCTTCTGACGTCGCAGATGCCGCACCTCGAGGACCCGTTATGAGGGACGAATTTCGGCCAAATATCTTTGTCTTTACCAATAAGTTAATGCGGGAGACTGGGGAACAGATCAGGGGGGTTGAACGCGAACCTAAACCCATTCAATGGGATCATCAACTTCAAGATGGGGACCAGGAACGAGGATGCCCGGACCACGCTGACGCACGAAGACGAACCCGACTATAACGCTGAGTTACCGTCCGCGTATGTGTCCTGAAAGAAAGAAGATCAAGATTGCCGAGCGGCTACAGCGACGTGAGGAATGGAGTGCGACCGCGGTATAGCGAAGGGGATGACCTTGAGGTAAAAACCACTAAGTCACCGGCTTCGTGCCCAGCATCCCGTCCTCGATGTCGTTGTGGGAAAGGTCGGCTACGTAGACGGGGGAACGTTCTTCGACAGCAGGGTATTGATCTCCTGTCAGCAGTACAACATGTTGAAAAGGCAACGCGCAACCTGCCCGAGATGAGGCACTCCATCACGCCTTCTGACACCAAGAAGTCTTGGAACGTGCCGTTAAAGATCATGATGTTGCCGAACGGCCTCATGATGGCCTTGACCTGCTTCAATAGACTGGTTTCCGCGTCGCAGTTCAAGATTCTGAGCCTCGTCTTCTGTGCAAGCAGCCTTGAGGTGTTGACATTCAAGTCGACGACCATGTACGAGCGGTTCCTCGGATCCAGGTTCTTGAGCTCCTGGAACTTTAGGATTCCCACACAGACAATGGATGACCTTCCTGCCCGAGGCCCCCTGGCTCTTTGCGCAGTTGCTGCTTATCTTCCTCATCTCGATCGATGTGCTCACGACGTTGTACAGGATAGTGGATACGTTCTTGTTGCTGACCGCAGCCAGGATGTAGCGCCTGATCATCTCCGGGGTATTGGGTCTGTGATTGACGAGCCTTGGGACAGGGTTGCACAAGGTGACGCTGTTCCCGAACTCGTGCTTCGACATGGTCAGCTTGATAACAACGCCCTTCATTGTCGACTTACCGGCCTTTGCGTACGAAACCTGGATCACCGGGTCGATGGTCCTCAACAACCCAGACTTGGAGACCATGTCCAGTGTGGGCAACTTCATCCCCCAATGTCTGGTTCTTGCTGATGCACACGTGGCCCTCGTGCGCCAGGTTCTGCTGGTTCTTTAGCTTTGACCCGTCGTCAAAGTTATCCCGCAACGTCCTAACGATCATTAGCGAACCTCGAAAAAGTGGTAATTCTCAAGGTGACATGCCCCCCCCCCCCTGCTTGACAATCACCTTTTCGTCCATCGACAGGGTGTCAAGGCAGGCCAGTTTCTCGCTCAACATCATCTACGCAACCAAAGTATTGGGCTAGTCGGTGATCTGGTCCATCATCATCAGCTCGATCAGGAGGTAGCTGTTTAGGAAGAAGAGTCACCTTATGCGGATAGGTTCGTGTCCGGGAAGCAGGCCACGCAGCCACACAGCCGCAAAGGAGAGATGTTGAGGAACGCCTGGGATAGCATGAAGTGAGTGGTAGTTCGGGGAGGTGATGTCGAGGGGCTTCGCGGAGAGAGTGCTCCAGGAAGAGCGTCAAGGTCAGGACGAGAGGCATCAGCGAGAACGTGGTCAAAAGCGAGAACATCGTCAGGAACGAGGTTACGACCTGCGAATTTATACCTGGATTGATCGCGGTCGTCTCGCACGAGTACACGTTTGTTGGCGACGTCTTGAAGAACCGACGCATGGCCAACGTCTCTCGGAAAGCTGCGGCTATACCATCGTGTCAGTGGAGGTTACGATCAATTCGAGGGTGCACGCAGAGCCCGACCCGCCCTCGTTCTGATGCAAGGTAGAACTCACGGACACGGCAACATTCCTAGGTCCGTCACACGGACCACGATGTCAACGACGTGACGAGCCTCCAGTCGTTCAGGGGCATCTTCATGCACAAGGTCGACGGCATGAAGGTCCATGTTCGAGTTGTGCTTGGCCTTGGCCCTGGAGAAGCTCTCACAAGGGTCGCAGCTGCTCTTGTCGTTGTCGGAGACGTCTTTCTCGTTGTAGCTGCAGACGTCGCTGTCCTGTCCAACTCTTGATTGTGGAAGGCCTTCCCGTCGTTGTTCCGTATAGCCGTGTTGCCCGAGCCGTCCTATCCGAAACGCAGTCGTACAAATCCTCAATCGTCCCCCAGATCAGCGTACCGGAGGGATCTCCTCCAAGATGACAGTCAAGCTGGGATCGTGGCCTCTGACGCTCGGCTTGGTCTTGACGTCCTCGCAGCTCTCTTGATACTTCTCGAGAGAGATACCTTGCGAGTTCTCTTCGATAACGGCAGTTCATGGACCTAGATACGTTGAGCTTGAGCTTGGTTCTGTAGTCCCCGACGGTCGCCTTCTTGATAGGGCTCTCCCCATTCGCGGGGCAGAACTCGATCATATTCACACTTGGCGAAGTGGTTCAACTAGATGTCGTCCGTGTGGTAGTCATTAGTCAAAGGTTTTGATGATGGCGCTCGTCTGTGCTTTGTTGCGGACATCTGCGTGCTGTGTCTCTCGTCAGTCTAGTCCAGCTAGAACGATGGAGCACACGGGTACTTGCAACAATCCGTAGGATGACGCGGTCCACATCTTGAACACACGAAGTAGCCGACATCTGCGGGTCCTGACACCTGCGGCTCACCTGAATGCATCAAGCTTCCATGACGCGAATAGTGAATAGGTCGCGTCTGGAGCATACAGTGAAGCTGGGAGGCGGAGCATAACCACGGAGGATCGTGCTGAACGAGACGCCGGGGCTGCTACTATGCAAGTGCGAGTCGGTCGAGGCATTGATGGCGTTGACCGTAGAGATGATGAAGAAAGCGGGGCTACACAATGAGGTTTGAAAGAGCCATCGTCAACAAGCCCATGGAGTTGACCGTGGTGGTCTGCAACGCGCGTGTTAGTCTCAGAGACGCGCTTTGGCGAGGCGGTGGAAGAGGAACGTGCTGAAGACAATTCCGGACCAAATACTCCGTGGAGAGAGGAACAGCGCGCAATCACGTGCTTTCGCGGTTGCCGGTGAAGAAGTCCCTTCCCATGAACAGTAAGGTAGGTACCCGACCATTTCTCACTTTCCTTTCCCGCTGGTCGCACTGGGAACCATCCTGCTCTGCCCTGCAGGTGCAAAGTGGGTTCCTCTAGCCATTGGTGTGGCTCTGTAGTACGTACCTCCTTTTTTGTGGGGGCAGGCGCGCCGGGTGGACGCCGGATGAACCTCCTGCCCCGAGCGGGAGATTGGGAGATTTTGCAAAAAACACCCAAATTATTGGGAGATTTTGGATTGTGGCTGTGTGTGGCGGCAGCCACCCAGACCACCTCTTCCTGCTGCCAACCAATTAGCGTCACCACTGTTGCTGGATCGGGCAGCTGGGGCACTGCTCACTTCCAATGCCTTTGGGTCAGGTCCACTTCCCCAAACGACTCCACGATGCGTGAGGCCATTGCGTTATGACAAAGACTACTGTGCACGCCCTGTTAGCCTTTGGTAACATTCCAAGTTCATGATCGACAATGATCCTCTCCTCTTTTTACCTTGTCATTGTAGGAATCGAAATATGAGATGTCTGAAATTCTGTCTAAACACTGCTTACTTTTGGTCATGATTCCGCGACTTTCGATTCTACCCGCAGCCGCGTGAGCCAGCCTCATGGTCACGTGCCAGATATTAGGTGGAACGAGACCTCGACGCAGGACCCCGACAGCCGACATCAGGTAAAAGGCCAACTTCTTTGCGGACAGTAGACCGGCGCTCGGAATTATCTTAATAGATGATATGACCTTTGACCGGGAGATGCAGATAGATGATATGGAGGGCTTGTTGACAAGACTCCCATGCCGAGTATGCAATGTCGCCACGCCCCTGATTTGTAAACGACTGTGACTGACGAGAGGAGGAGGAGAACGATGACGGAGACGCGGTTACAGAAGCGTCACCACAGAGGCCGACAAGTATCTATGGGCAGGGGCAGGTACATTTTGGTGGATGGCTGAGCGCCCCAGGACCGCGTCCGCCCAGGTCAAGTTCAACGTCGAGCCCAGGGGCCTGATTTTATGGCGGCTACGGCTCCGGCGTCACCACGACAGCAGAAACTGCACGCAACATTGCCCGTACGGCGTCAAGATTGATACTACGGCCACTAATGCCTACTAAACGTACCTCAACTTTACGTTTGGGAAATATTCCGAGAAGTCCTACGGGGGAATGTACCCCGTGATAAAGATGCCAGATGGTTTAATGTGCGGATTTTTGGATAGTGAGTCATACGTCGCGTCCTAAAGCTATATTCTCTACGAAACGATGTCAGAATACGAGAACGAGCATCTTTATGCTATCTCCCTAGGGACTTTGTATCAGGTTGTTATCATCCTCCTCAGGGACCTCATACTGCTATATTCTCCGTCTTCATGGTCGACTTGATGATGTGCACTAAGGCTAGGTACTAGGCGGGAATCTCCTTGGGCGATACCCGGAACTACATGCCCCCTCGTTCCCGTATAACGTCAAATGCGTGGTCCTCGCCCTGGAAATGCCTACCTTGATCTTGAACCGAGTCTTAGGCCTAGGTTGAGACGGACTCGTGCGTCGGGACGTCCATCTCCGACTTAAGTATCCTCCCATATGTCGACGAGGGCAATGGCCGTCGCCAGCCGAGTCACGAGCAGCACCAACCGCCCCTGTCGGATTGGAAGTCCAATTCGACCGCGGCATACAGCCGACTGCGCAGGGGCCAATTGGGGGCCCTATTTACGATTATCGTAGCCAGCCCAACCTACGGTTGGAACCTCCTTTTTACACCTACTACGCAGATATTCATATAGTTCAATTGATCTCTTCGTCAACTACGGTTCGAACCAACTACCCTGTAATAGGGATACCAACAGCCCCACCACTCATGGTTTGCGCGTCTGTGTGTCGCATCCTCAACACGTTGATAACTTTGTTGCCGCACCCCATGGATGACATGGAACACAATTGTACCTGCATACGCAACAGGACATGGAGGCGGTTTTCGAACTGTTATTCAAGTAATCTCGAGGCTATGAGGACGATTACTGTTGCTATACACGTCAGCAGGGCAAGTCTTTCGGCCGGTACGAAGTCCAACAGTGGATTTCGACTGCGCACATGGTATAGAAGAAAGGCGTTGGTGGACAGAGCCACGATTCTTCCGTTGGGCATAAGTAGAGGGATGGAAGAGCCGTTTGCACCGGCCGGGCCACTTGATGAATTCATTTTTCTGCCGTCAAACTCCAACAACCACAGTACCGTGGGGTGAGGTTCACGAGACTTGACAGGCATTGTATAACTAGAGATTGAAGGCGAGAAGCTCCGCCGCAGCTCTAGGCCAGGCATGCAAATGGTGCACGGTACAGAGGCAGGCAGAGGAATGAACCAGAAAGTGTTATCGCACACGATTATGAATGAGAGATCCTAAACGACACAATGATTGCTTCTGTGAGCATGTTAATCGGGATACCCCTGTGCCTGAACAGCGCTGACACCTGGTTGTTTGCGATATGAAGATATACATGAGCTTTGACCCCTCCCTCCAAATGCTGACACATCTTACGACCTCCTTCGCACTGTTGTTCTCCCTGATCTTGGTCGAGTAGCCCACTTCTCGTCTGCAATCACTCGTATGTCCCCTGAGCCGAAGCCTGAGAGGCGTATACGTTCGCTGGTTGACTTGCCTCCTGTATCATGTTCCGACTTCAACCACGCGAGTAGGTGGCAAGGCTCTTGTCCTTATCGTCGAGGTGATTGGAGGAGGCTTGCCGTCGGAGTGGCCAATGGAGGAGACTTGGTGTTGAGAGATTACTTTGGTAAAAAAGATGGAGGTTGTTCACGTGACAGTTCTCCGTCGAAGTCTTGGCTTGACGGAGGAAATGGTATGGGAAATGCTGGAGGAGGAGGACTTGTCGGTGGTTTTCTGGCGGAAGGACGTCATTTGGCATATCAGAATGCTTTCCGACTGCTGCCAGCGTTGCGTGCTGGAGTCTTGTGAAAGTGATACTTCTGCTACGAGTTGTTAGTGAAAATGGGGTGTGATGGACGATGAAGGAGGGTTTGACGACGTGATTCTTCCTTGGTGGGTTGAGAAAATCTCGCATGGTAAGATTTCGTCTCGTAGCTTGCCTCTGGCTTTCGCGTCGTCCGAGCGTCGAAGGGGGCGAGCGATCTCCGTGGACAAAACGCGGGATCGTCGATGCATGGCCTGCTCTTGGTATCAATAGCGCCTTCATGAGTTGCCCCTGGGCCATCATCCGAGCATCGAAGGGGGCGGGCAGTCTCGGTGCCATGGTGGGCAAAGCTGGGTGATCTTCAAGCAGGATTCTTCCGATTTCGAAGGCACAGAGCCAGTCGCGATACTGCCATTGGGTCTCTCTATCTAAAATGTTGACGCACCTTGCTCTTCTGATGAGTACCCTGGCCATGCGAAGTTGTGCGATTTCAAGCACTGACGATTGGTGGTATAAGATAAACGTAAGTAGGAGAAGGCCTTTCAGCCGGTGCGAAGCTCAATCATCTGGGATTGATTGGACTGCGTAGTAAAACAGATGTGGAAGGAGGCTTTGTTGACATGACTGGATGAAAAGTGGAAGTAGGTGCGTGAGTGGAAGGGCCGTTTGAAGCGACCCAGACCGGGCACCTTGCCGGAAGCCTCTTTTCTGCTATCAATATTCCAATACCTTCAGGTACGTTAGATAAAGGTAGCTACGACTGCCATGACTGCCACTTGTGCAAGAAGTTGGCGAGCTCGAACAGCGCCACAGAGCAGTAGTATGTGCTAGAACTGGAGTAGGAACATGGACTTCTTCACAAAGCACCTTAGGTGACCAGGTGCAACCAGCACGGTGTCAAAGATAATGACCCACAACCGCGTAAGGTATCATGGGCAGGAGCATCCTGGACAGATATGATGCCTGTGAGTGATTGCCATGATTCGTGATGGCTAAGGTAATTACCTTGCACCAGCGGGGGGAGACCGAGATGGACATTCGCAGCTCACTCACCTTACCCAGCCTTGACAGCCAGCCTACTCCGTACTCTACCATACTGTTCCTGGGATGACCGGTGGATCCGGGGAAGAAGATGAGGTGCCCATTAAGTGCCGCCGCTGTGCTGCAGCCGACTCTCACTTATCTCTGATCAGATAAGCGATAACCAATGATCCCATCCCCAAGCACCAACTCACTCATGGAAATGGCAGTGGTAGACAGGAACACCAATCTCATTTTATTCACACGAAGCGCTTGTACCAAGAAAAGTGAGCAACCAAGAAGAATGTGTAACAGTATCCTCACTCCCGACGGATTCTCTTCCACCACTCCTCTTCGTTTACTCAAAGCACCTGGATAAGCTGTCAGAGACGGACAAGTCATCGTCTGCTGGTCGGGTAAGTTTCTGCAACCATGTTCCTTCAGCGCTGATTTTACACTACAACTCCTGCAGACCCAGATGCCTCGGTCAGTGACTTGAGGGCAACATTGATTATGTGCGCTGCCAGCGCGGCCTTCTCCTTCGGTGACAACTCCTCCTTCTTGCTCGTGGTCGTGGCCCCTCGCTCTATATCGGTTGTCCTGCCTCCTATCGTCGTCGTCATTCGTTTCTTCTTTTGCGCTGTCGATTACGGCTCGGCCGCGGTGGGCAATGGCCTTGACCCAAGGTCAGTTGCTTTGTTGTCCAGGTCATGAGCCCTTGAATAGCCGCAAGGACCTCAAACGTGCCCAACTCGCTAGGCCTGATGACATGCTCCAGCCAAGAGTCTGCAAAAGAGTTACTCGCCTTCCCTCATGTTGTCGTTGTTACTTTCTCCTTTTGCGCTGTCGGCTGCGCTCCGGCCTCGGTCGCGAGAAGTTCTTTGAGTAGCACCGTGGTTGTTGATGTGCATGTTGATGATGACGAAAATGATGACTATGATGATGTTGTGGACGATGATGATGACGTGGATGATGATGATGATGATGATGATGATGATGATGATGATGATAATGATGAATCTTTTGACGTCGGTTCCACCCCGCAAGGGCTAAAGGGCGCCTACATCAGCTGTTGTTGATGTGCATGTTGCAATCGAGCACGACTTTGTGAGCACATCTTCGTCAGTACGGTTTGCCAACAACTTGCACCGTGCAACAGGCAAAGCGGGCTGTTGCAGAAAATATTACTCATCAACTTGCCGTTTAAGACTCTCTGGCAGCTCCATGGTCGTGGTATTTGATTCGGGCCGTTTCAAACGGGCCCTTCCACCCACTTACACCCAATGGAGGAATCGTGAGCTCTGCCCACCAACATCCTCTTTCAGCACACATACCCAGTTCAATACCACGATGATTGAGCTTCGTACCGACCGAAAGGCTTGCCCTACTGACATGTATGCCGACACTGATCAGTGCTTTTGTGCTAAGTCCGCCATCACAAAAGTCAGCCGATGTCACTTGATGGCAGGAGAGTCCGCAGTAGTTAGCAAAGCGACGAGATGACGTACCAGGGAGTGAGACAAAACTAGTTCGTTCCAGCTAGCTATCCTTCATCTGGTGATGTTTCTGATAGCCTCTCGAGGTAGCTTGAGATGATCTCGATCGATTCCGGTCGACTATGCCGTTGAGAATAGTTCGAAACTGCTCGGGATGGCTTGCGATGGGCTCGAACGCGTAGAACGTCGTATCGTCGACCTTTGGTCCGGGTCAATTACACCGTTAGATAGAATAACGAGGCGCTCGGTTAGCTACGATGTCGAGCAGCTTGGAGGTGCCTCCGGTGTGGGCTCTGAAGTAATGGAACCAATCATGGGCTGTTCTGCAATTGCTTGCGCCCCGGTTGCAACGCTGTTATGTTCGCTTCGATTATCTCCTCAAAAAGTGTGGGAGTTGAGATCTCACTTGCTTTACGCTTTGGAGTGGTCTCACGACAGGCTCGGGCAAGGTGGATGTCGTCTCGTCGACCGTGCCGTTGGGTGCGGTATCGAGCCGCTTGAGGTGCCTCGCGATGAGCTCCATCCCATAGGACGTCGTCTCATCGCGTTGACCTTCAGTTCGGGTCGATTATACCGTTAGGTATAATATTGAACCTCTGCGTTAGGGACAGTGTCGAGTCGCTCGAGTTGGCTTGCGATCTCTCTGGCTAATCTGGAGTGCCTCCGTCTATGTTGCTGCCGCTACCTCTGTCGTATTGTTGACAACAGCCAATGTCTCAACCGTGCTCTCGGGTGCGGTGTCGAGCTGCTCGAGAAGGCTCGTGATTGGTTCTGTCCGCAGGACTTCGTCTCGTTGACCTTAGGCTTCTCGACAGGGTGCGAGACCTCTCTTCTGCGTCTTAATATGTGCGTCTTGGGGATAATGTGCTTGCGCGTGTGAGTTTTGATGGAGGAAGCAACACGATGATGATTGGCGATGGGCCAGCTGCAAGTGTGGAAGCCGTCGCAAAGCAGGGAAATGACTTCCTAGGCCCGTCCTCCAACAACAACGCAAACGAGCAGCTCCAAAATGCGCGGCCTGTGTGGTTTTGTGAATTCCAAGAAAAGGGAGGAAATCAGAGAATGGACGGCACTATACGGACTTGCGGTCCTGTGGTGGTCGAGTCGGAGGTCATCGGCACTGGTGTCATCCGCTCAATGGTTGTGAGAGGGGTAGAGCGAGAAAAAGGAAGGTCGATGGTCCTCGACGAGGCCCTCAGTGAGCATGCCTGCCACGAAACCAACGGGCACGCACACTTACGGTGTCAGACTGGGAGCAGTTGAGCGTCGGCAACATGTCTTGGCCGCATGTTCCCGAGTTGCGAAAACGACAACTAGCGGGCAACGGATCTCCAAAGTCTACGCGATCATCAGTCGATTCATTCGTCCTCAAAATGCAGTCACGCAAATAGGAAAGGCTTGCCTCCGTTACGAATACTGTGATAGGAATACTGTAGTGAATGCCTGCCACGATCCTCAGTTAATCCATTCACACTAGAGGCGCAGACGAGAACGGTTTACCTCTCGGGACAAACCGCATTACACCGGCATTTATTCCAAACTGGAACTCATACATGATGATCAGGACCTTGCATTGGAACAGGAAGAACGCCATATGCGTCTTACTCCACTTATTTGGCCGCATCGGGATTGGCGATGTGCCAGTTGCAGGTATGAGAGAGAGGTAGAGCGAGAAAAGAAGAAGTGAACATCAGCAGCGCAACTGTACGGTTGGCACGAAGGGCCAATAAAGTGGTGCGCAGTGCTGGGTATGGAGGTGGGAAGAGGAAGAATTGCGAAGAGGGGGAGTTGGGCGAAACCAAGGATTGTTCCAGAGGTGGTCCTCCAGAGAGTGTCTGTGAGTGGAAAGACCATTGGTGTGGCCCTGGCCTCCTTCTAGATTCACCGTTTTAGCCGACTGCCCTGAATCTTCCATGGATGAGATGAACATCTAGCAGGAGCATGCCACAAGCATCAGCTGGACTTTGTCAATTTCAAGCAGGAAAGAGCACAGTCAAAACTTTGAGCATCTTCAATCCGTAACGGTAGGAACGTACAGTACCTGGCCTGATCCCTGCCTCACTTCTCAAGCTGCCTACGTACTCAGGCAGGTGCCCACCTTACGGAGTGCTTTGAGCACCTGCCAAATGAGATGGGTGACAACATCAAGTTCCTGCCATCTCTCATTTAGACGGGCAAGCACCTCTTTCATCACTAAGGTACTATCATAACTACCTTAACCTGGAAGATACGGGCTGCTACTCATTTCTCCCGGGCGTGACATTCCCCCCCCCCCCCCCCCCCCCCCCCCCCCCCCCCTCCCTCCAAGCCACTCCGACCCCACGCGGCGCCGCCGCACACCGCCCCCCCCCCACCCCCCCAAGCTGACGGCCAACAACGCCACCAACAAAAACCACCACAAAAAAAATAACAAACACCCCCTCTCCCGCCCCCCCCCCCCCCCCCTTTGAGGCCTCTCTAAGGCAGATCGGGCACCGTGCAATCGGGGTCTGAACTGCGCCTCGGCTCCTCCTGAGTGAATCGGATGACAGAACAGCCAGGAAACCATGACCATACAGCAAACACGAACGACCGTCCTTCGGCTACGTGCGCACACCCCGCGGATAATACGACACTCTACCCTTTCCATCAACATATTTCTCGTATACGTAAAAGGATACACTCTTTCTGAAGGAACCTCAAGATACCTGTTCTGGTGATAAAAGTGGTGGTAGTGCTTGTTGGGTGTGTCGAGCGGAATCGACTTTGTCTCTCATCGTGCCTGCTCACCTCTATTTGCCTCTAGTTGCCTCTGCGTGCCTCGGCGTGCCACAGGCAGTTTGCTATTTTCTTACAGGCCGTCTTCCGCCTTGGTTCCTTCTCCATTGATTCCCAGCATCTTGACTCCACAAAGGATCCACTTCTGTTCAGGATTGGTCCTTCCCGCCCCTCTTCTGATGTCAGCGGCAGCTTAGGTAAGCACCATCTCAGGACAAGACTAATCCCTGAGAATCATGATGGGATTCATTGCCCATGAGGTCACTTCAGCTTTGGCGAGTTGCTTAAACACTCGCGTGGAGCTTGAAGCATCGATCAATGTGCCTGCCATGCTTTAAGTACGCAGCAGCATAAAATGGCGCCACCATGATATTGAGACAACACATGAGGCGGCTTGTTTGGCTCTTGCATCGTCCCCGCGAGAAAGTCCTCTCCGCCAGTCCCCGAATTACCGGCCAGCCTCTCGTAGACCATGAGGCCTGGGAAATTTCATCCAGGACGGAGTATGTGATGTGTGTGACGATGATAAGCAGGTGAAGGGAAGCGAACGACTGGTCTTGATGTGCACAGGCAATCTGCCCACATCCAGGGCTTAGAACCCACATCTCTTGGAGCAAGACGTAAACAACCGTGATTGCAAGAACAACGAGATCGCCGGAGGCTTATCTTCTCGACAAGACTCGCCAGGACATTACTCTGAACTCGCTGGGAGTCTTATATTGGGCTTCGATACATGAAAGTCTCAAGTCCCAACCGGGTCGGTGAGAGTGGGAAGGATTGCGGATCCAGTGGGGGATAAAAGGAGGTGGAAGCTTTATGTGTCTATTCCGCGTCTTTTCCCAAGTTCGATGGATACATATTTAAACTGCTGCCAGGCCATCGGAGAACACACAAATAGTCGCTTGGAGTCCACTCGAAGACATTGATGGTCTCATGCTGTGGTCTCGAGCGATCTCAGAGACGTATAGGGCGCTAGACGCTAATGTCACGCCTGCAGGCAGCAAAGTTGAGAATTGGTTGAGCGTGTTTGATGGGTGATAATCGAGGGCAATGGCAGAAAGTCTAGAACTGGAAAACTGACCGAGCTTAGCCCAGCGCAAGGTTGAGCAACTAACCACTCACCTCTAAGCGACCGCAACGAATAACAGTATTCATTATTGCTTTCCTCAAGAACCGAAATCATTTTATTGAGCTGCCACAAGTTGAAAGGCCCGAAACAGAAATGGCAACAGATTTGTGGATATCAGCTACCGAACAGACCCGATGGAGATGGATTTTTCCCAAGCTGCTGAAAGTGACGATGGCATGATGGATGTACAAGAAGAAGACCACAAGATTGTCTGACCTAGAGTCATGGCTGAATATGTTCAGGAAATAACTTTTCGAACATTGAGAAACGGAGATTCGTCAATAAGCCGAGCAGGCGCGCAGACGCGATTAGATTGGAAAAATAAAGCAATAACTCAAGGATCGGGATGGTGACATGAGTAACTGGTAGCAAAATGAAGCAATTCGGTTGGAACAAATCGCCAAGATTATTTTGGACCTATGGCATCATAAGCAGTCAGATGACGGCCTCATAGCGGATTAGAACTAAGATACGGAAGGGATTATTGTTTTGGAAGAGTGCATAGAAGCCGACGGTCACTCTCACGGTAGACTGGATAGCAAATTCCAGTAGCTTTCTGATTGATTGGATGCATCCTTGGAAGGGTAGACAAGGTTGCAGGCCCGAACAAAGGCACACACTGAAGGAGTTGACTTCGCCAATGATGCAAAACCACTAGACACACCGTCACTAGGCGAGTCAAATAATGTGTCTGAAGGTTAAATACAAAGCTCAAGAATCTGGACAGCTTAGCAAAAGAGTCAAACCATACTTGTTGCATAGAAAGATCGGATGGCTCAAGCCGATATCGCGGCGAAAGAACAGACAAGGCTGGTCGATAGTCTCAAATATTTGCATTCCCGGCTGGAAACCTATGAGACGCAGAGAAGGAATGCCATGGAGAATAGAAGCGAATTCGAGAGGCAGCTCAAGCGGACATTAAAAGCTCAAATATCAACATCAAGCAACTCCGGATCATGGCATCAAAATAGAAATCAAGGGGCGGACAGCAATGTGACGTACGAGAAAGCCATACTGGCTTGGATGGCTAGAGAAGGCTGAATGTTGACCTTACAAACTTCCTGGCCTGACCCGCTGAACCACCAACCGCAGGACAAACACGGCAAGGGGTAAAAGGGTAGTTGAGACAATAAATCGCTCAGCTCGAGGCCATGCAAAGGACAAGAGAAGAAAGGGATGGCATGCCCAGAGCGAGGCAAACCGAAACGATCAAGCAGTCTGACAGCAAAGCTCGCAGGCAAAGTGCCGAAGGAAAAGCTCTCTATCCATAAGCATAGCCTGTATCAAGGCTTCAAAAATGGAACCGGTGATTTGAAACCAGCTCACTCGAATGGCATGTACTGGCTTCTGCCCAGGAATCAACCGAGGTGGCAGCCAGCAAGGCCTTGCCGAACAACAACAAGAACAAGAACGGCAGACAGCTTTGGGCAGCAAAGCTTTCTGTTGGAATAGAAATATGCGAGAACGTACCTCCAGACACATTCTGAGCGTGACAAGGAAGATCCTCTATTTGATCATGTTCGCCTTCAATCAGAACGGTGGTCTTCTTACCCACTGGCCGGGAGCGGCATCAGTCCAGACATTCTGTCCAGCAAGCAGGACTCGTGTACGTCGAGATCCAAGGCAGCGGGTTCTGAAAAGATAATGGTTTCTCAGGAAGGTTGGGATGGAAAACACACAGATGTACTACGGGCTACAGCCAGCCACCCTGACGCAAGCTCAGAGAATGAGCGACTTCCATAAAAACTGTACCAAGGTTAGTGAAGCAGAATTCGAAAGTCATGCTGAGGGATCATCTGCCATCTCTGCCTGTCTAAAAGAGAGAGACGACTTGGAACAAATATCAAAGCCGCTCTGAGGTCACCTGTCAGAATTGATGCAGATTATGCTGAGAATAGGGCGCCGTAGCAACAGAAAATAAGTCAGGATAGGCCTCATGTGTGAAAACACTGAGCTAAAGCCTGGAAGACTCAGGTAATAGATGGAAGACGCTGACAGATGGCATGGAGACAAATCCTTCATGGCTAAGGTCGCTAAGCATCGGAATCAGAACACGAAAACTGATGATAATATGGGGCGAGGCGAGAAATAAGCCCCGCTTGTCCAAAGAGTACTTGAAGGAGAGAAACATCGCCAGCCAGACCTCGATGACAGGCGTAGAGTGAAGCCGAGTGCGGCGCTGTATCAACACCCTGGGGAAAACGGCAGCTAGTGCAAGGAGCTCGACAGACTGGATAACAGGATGGTGGCGTCAAGGATGCCTTCAAACGTAAGCCTAACATTCAAGATCATGGATGAGAGACGGCCGCAAGAATGGCTCAAGTCCAAAAAGTCCATTTTGTGAGCTCCCATGGCAAGCTTCTCAGACTCGGTCTCGATGAGGTTGTGGCGTAGGATTAAGACGTTCTGATCGACCGTCTGAAGTCGTCCTGGCAAATGATAAAATCCAAAGACCTTGACTATCAAGTCTATGCATTGCCAGCTTAGCTATCGCCATCAATGGCAGGTGTAGAGTCGCATGGATCAATTGGGCAAGCGACGACTTCGTGGAATTCAGCAGATTCGTTGATTCGGGCTGGCATGTATCGTAAAAGCGGTTTCATTGTTATCGTGAGGGCCAAACTTGGTCGCGGGGGAGGGAGGCCGCGGCCGCACGTGTTTGTATCTGGATAATGTTGTTTGTTCAAAGTTATTCAGTGTTCCCGGGACGAATTGGGAGGGACAACTCAAGCTTTCTCTGGCTGCTGTGGAACCACCTTCTTCCTTCACCGTCCATCGCAGCTGGGCATTCCGCTTTCCACGTTCCCGCATCCCCCCGCCCCATTCCTTTTCCTCCCAATTCGCAGTGCTTTCTACTTCTGGAAAAAAAGTCACTGAGGCTTTCTGTTGTCACAAACGTCAGCAGTGTACCCGCACGATTGGCAGGAAGGGTCAAACAAGTGGTGTTTCTTACTACGTTTGGAGGTGGAAGAAGGAGGAAGTGGGCAGAACCTGCGATTCTTCAGAAGTGGTGTGTAAGTGGAAGGTATGGCCCTGACCGGCTTCCAAGTCCACCTTTCCTGCCAACTGGTCAGAGATCTAATAAGTCCCCCCTATCCTCACTCGTTAACCTCATCGTCGCACTCATCATACCTGAATACGTCAAAGACATCATTGCCGAGTCCCAAATGCCACCGATGCCGATCCTCAAAGCGTCGCCGATGACACGTGGAGGTCCCTTCCAGACACAAGCAAGCACCGCATCTAGGAACTCAACGACACCTACACCGAGTACTTCCAAAACGCACGCTCAGCCTCTATCACAAGCCACAGCTCTTTGGCTTTGTGTCCTCCCATACTTCAATCTCTTTGTCACAAGAGACCCAAAGAAAAGCTCCTGAGGTTGAAGGGCGAGTCCTTTGGCCGTCGCTGGCTTGATTATGGACTCTGTAGGTATCCCGCTCTGCTCTTGGCTCTTATTAATCCCCTAAAAGCTGCCAGCGGGACTCCACGCATCTGATCCGACCTCATCCCTATCCCATGCGCAGCGGCCATACGCTCCTCCGACTCTCTTTATCTACCTTGCGGTCCCTATGAGGCCTGCTCCTCCGACTTTCTATATTTACGTTGCAACTTCCATGAGGCCTACACCGCAGCTCTCAATTGCCACTTCCGATAGCGAAAGCCCGCAAACACTCCGGCCTTATGCCAAACCGACAACTTTTCACCGGCTGGTTTTCTACCAACCACAATGGTATCCAGCCATCACAATGGTCAAAACCGTCAAACCAATAGTGCGTTTCGCAGCAGCGTCCGCAGCAGCCTCAAGCTGGTTCTTGTACGTGCCATGTAATGTGTCACTCTTGTCGAGGAGCCGAGGGAACTGACAATATAGCTCTTCTCCGCCTCAGCAACAGCGAGATCATGGCCTACAGCAATCAGCGGGGTGCCGCTGCTGGTGGCGGCGGTAGTGGTACCACCGCTGGCCAGAGCAGCCTTCACCACCGCATGTGCCCCAGCATTCGTACTTCCTTGGCATTCTCCTCGAAATGTACAACCTGAAAACCTCTGACAAGGCTGTGCTCCTTCGACGCATTTGCATGATCAGCAAGAAGGCCTAGCCCTTACAATTCAGGCCGAAGTAATGATCAACAGCAATACACCAAGGGCCTTGTATGAAGTACGCTACTCTTGTTCGGTTCTTTCCCGACTCAAAGCTAACAAAATTGAACACAGCATCGATGCCAAACTCATATGGCCATCCGATATGTCCCTCTTATTAGCAGCCTGCTTCATCCCAGCATCAGTCTGGTGCTGGCACGTGTACATATCATCCTATTCCACTTTCTTGTCCAGGAAGCTAACTCTGTGGTCACAGCCATCACAGCGGTATCCTTGACCGCTCAGTTCCATCCCATCAACAACCCCCCTCATTGCAACAGCAGCAGCAGCCTAGCATCGACTCCCCTTCTCCTTTATCCGCACCCCTTCGCACGGTTGCAGAGCAGTTCTCGAGCAAATCAACAACTCATCCCACACGAGATCTACATCATGCACGATACCATCCGGCCGATCCTCAAAACGTTCTCCTTGCGGTATCAAATACACAAGGGCTCCGACGATGTCTCCTTCTCCTCCTTCGTCATCAGTCGCATGACATGAAACCCATGCTGACACAGTTGGGACGCGTCTCAATGATTTGTTGGCTCATTAGGGGCCTTGCCTTCACCAGACAATCGAGGCTGAAGCTGCATTCGTCGCCATGGACCTCGAGCTTATGGTGATGAGCGAAGGTCGGTCTGACTCGTATGATGACTTTGGTCATGACGACAATGCCAAAATTGTCACCGAGAACACAGGGGCTGCTGATAAGAGACGTCCGAGGCACAAGAAGAACGGACAGTCTACAGTTCACAGAGGACAGTCTCGTAGTTGATCATTTCTTCTGCCTTTTACATCTTCGAAATACCCCCTTCAAGCAATGATACAGGAACCACGACTCCCAATGACCCCCGCCAGCATCACAAAGACTCTTCGTTCCTCTTCTACTCACAGTTCCCCACGCTTCGCTTCTGATCTCATTCTATGTCTAGTCAAACTGCATAACCTTGCATCGATCGGTAGCCTCCTCCAACTCATCAACTCAATCGCCTGTCCTTGGCCTTTCTTTCCTATCCCTCCCATGGCCCTGTGTCAGCTCCTTCTTACGCTGTTGGAATCCTTGGCACCACGCACCTCAGTCACCGTCAATGTTGTCTTTTGGTGGCGGAGCGCTGCCCGTGGTAGAGCTGTTCGTTGCGCGCTGCGAGCCCTCCGCAACGTCTCGGTACTCTTTCTGGAACTCGAGGCTAGCGGGATCACTGCCACTAGGAATAAATCCGTCATTGTCGATGCCGTCGACTAAAGGAGCCGTAGCTGAGGGAGTATCTGGCTCGTTCAAAGACGAAAGAAGCAGATCGTATGTGTCACCAGACTGCAAGACAGCTGCATTTGGTACGCCACCCAATCTACCATCCCTGGCCATTTTCCAAGGATGCTGCTTTTACTACCAGGAGACGCCCGGCTTGTCTATCTGGCCCATGTCCACCGCGCCATCATCATCGCTCACGCACCCGATCCAGTCCGCAAAGGTCCTGTTGTACCAACTCCTAAGCTTGCCTTGACCGGCCTCCCAGTCGTTCATCCAGGGCTCTTCGTCTTCGCCTCCATCTCCTCCGCTGCCACCCACGAAGGTTACAAGCTCGTTGGTCTTGGCCAGTCCGAAGTCCATCTCTTGAGGTTTCTCCTCTGCGTTGGTCTGGGGCTTCTTAATGTCGGTATCGTTGAATTCGAGGGAACGCAGAACTTGTTGTCACGAAGGGCTCTATTCGTCGAGTCTTTCGGTTTGATCTTCTCTGCTGGCATATCGGCATTGGCGATATCGCCTTTATTTCGTGTTTCAGGGAAACATCATGCAACGTTGAGCTTCTCACATCATGTTGTGTCTTGGCAGTAAGAATATGAGTCAAAGCGACGAAACTCTGTTGAGGATTGCAGAGCCATACATATTTGATTCGATGGACTCCCCGGCCATAACTGGCCTGTTTATTGCTGTTCTGTCACGAGAATAGGCTTGACCTTGGTGACGTCCTGAAAGCGACGACAATGAGCTTGGATACAGGAAGGATGTAGTCTTCTCTCTCTCGTTCTCCTCTCTTCTCCTTTACCTACGCCTTTCATAAGTGGTCCAATTATGTGTACGTTTGCGCTGATATCGTCAAACACACCACAGAGATTAAAACCATGACTCGTTAGACCCATGGCCCGGCTTCCCTGCGCCAGCTCACCAGCCCCTTCCGGTCTTCCTCCTGACACCATCAAAATCTTTTGCGATTGAGCCCCCTTTTCGAAAGCTCTTCTACTGCTTTCTCCCGGGTTCTCTCTATAGTTGGCAGCATCGTTCCAAGATAATAGGCCCCCAGTACCAAGGCCTTCATTCTGTATATGAAGAACCGTGAACGCTCAAACACACTAATGTCGGCAGCGGCCAAGTATTAATGGCAACTCCGGTTTCCTTGCCTACCTTCTCGATCCACGCTTATGGAATCATGGTAATGAGCTGCTCCACAATGTATTCAGAACAGGCGGTAACGCCGATGGGGTCGCTTCTGTCCAAGTGGAGCAAAGGGGGGCAGCAGTCTCCCCACAGCCTGTGCTCTCATCATCACCTGGGTCTCTGAAGAAAATGAATCCGACGGCGCGCGTCACATCGATATCGATGCGGTGCTGAAGCGTGGATCTATGATGAGTAGTACAGACATACATGAAGTACAACGACGACGATGCCGAATGCAAGGTTAGGGCTTCTATCATTGAGAGAATGTAGGGCGGGTGACGTGAGTGAGACGGGTGGGACGAGTGAGATGGTTGGTGTTCGCTTACTGCGTAAGTTGCCGGACCGGATCGAGTTGCCATGGTGGAGACGGCAAGAGACGAGAGACGGTTGGGATAAGTGGAGCAGACCTAAATTCAACACCCTCTCTTCTGCCATAAGTCGCCCTATTGATTGATGTATGTATAGGCGGCGGAGATCCTCCCGATCTCGTTGATTGACTTTGTCTTGTCCTGTCTGGAAGGATTCTTACCTCGAGGAGAGAGTGTGGGCTCAAGTCAAATGCGCCTAATGATGCCGTGATGGGGGGACGAGAGTGCGGATAGTAGACTGCGTCTTTCTACACCTTCTGATGCCTGTGACAGAGTCATATATTCTCGTTCTACCTAACCCCTCTCCACCTTCTCCTCGTGGTCAGCCAAACTCAAAACACACGTCAATCTGTTGCCTTATCACCATAAGGGCGGCTCGAATTTTGCTGCCCGAGTAATTCACTTTGTAAATACGAGACTCGAGCGGCATGTTATGGAGACTTTCTGAATCCCACAGACTCTATGGTTATATCATCTTGTCAAAGGCACCTTGTAGTCCCGGGAAAGACGGCAGTTCACGCATATGGTTCATCCGTCTTCTGGCCTACTCGTAATTGGAATTTACGACCAAGAAATCATCCTCGGCTGCTGGACCAATTCTTCGAGATCATCTCAGTCTGAAGCCCGTCGCGGGCCATGGTCACGAGAAATTGTACATCACTCCCGCTTCTTGACGGGCTCCAAGCCACTGAATGACGCTTCCACCATTTAGGCCCGACGAACGGGTGAGCCCATTTCAATGCTCCCGCTCAAGGATATGCCTCTCTGTCGATGACAGCATCCCAACAGCCGCTTATCAGCAACGCCAGCATCGCCATAAGCACCGCCACCTTCAACACGTTAAGCGTTCGCGTGATGCATATGAGCGACACTCACCATCAAGGCAATGTGAATGTGAACAAGAGTCTCAATAAACTAGCTGGAGCGGACATAATTTAATAGCATACCGATGTCTGTTTCACTTTAGCTTATATTAAAAGGGTTTGGCGTAAGATTTCTTCTGGTCCTTGGGTTCATTTGGCCGCTCAACCGCATGCGCATTGAGGTTGGATTGCTGAGGCAGAAGGCAGAAAAGGGAGTGGGTAGGTGGCAGGTGGGTGAAGATTAGGTAAGCAGTCTCTGTCCTGCTGACGGACCCTTCTACCTCCTTACCTCCGTAGAGGAATCGCCGGCTCTGCCCACAAACTTCCTCCTTCCACCACGCGCAATAGACCGACACAGCACTATTGATCTCATCGTGACCGGAACATCTGATTTTGACGTGTGAACCAACAACTGATTTTGCTTTGTGGCCGCTACGCCGATTCTCATCATCACCATCATTGTGGTTAGCATCATTCTCTGGTTTATCCATGCCGGCATTGCGCCTCCTTCAATTCGCTGTCGCTCTGCAAAGCGCCGCCCCATGCGTTTGAAAACGTGGCCCAGCTTGGACTCCGGTTTGGCACTGCCCTAGCAGCAACATTTGCTAGGGCAGTCCGGCAAGATATCATGTAGGTCAGAAACGCCCGCCACGGTCGACAAGACAGCCAGCGCCCCCACGAAAGGAGTCTTGGTGGTCCAGAACACCGTTGATACTGCCGAGTCGATAATGAGGCTGGATAGGAGGTGGGTAGACGGCATGGCGAGTGGTTTGGCTGGAGGAGGCGGTACTATCGCAGCTGACGAACGAAATTGCCTCCGGCCGTCCTGACTCACACGAAATGCACACTACGGTCTACATTCTCCACCAGCTTCGGCGGCGTCTAGGACTAGTCGATGCTGCGTTGGTCGTAACCCTTGCCTGCGCCATTGGCTGCAGCATACCACCAGCTGCAGAAGCTAGCGCCACAGCTTCGCGAACGCAAGCTGACTAACGAGCCGCGATGCTGAACATGATGGGCGGAGGGACTGGCACAAGGGCCCAAAGTTGTGCAATGTAGACAACGAGACATGCTCACTGGTCGACTGGGCGACGAAACAACTACGCCAGATTCGAGATGACGAAAAATGTAACGAAGCACCGGGGAGGAAAGCCGAGGCAGCTGTGGATGCGGGTGGCAGGTAAGCGGAGGAGTATCAAGAGTTGGAGAATCTCCTATGAGGAGCAAATAACTTGTGCCACGTGATACTGACAGGTCCATCGCCAACTCAGGCACATGGTCTCAAAGCCGCCCTGGATCGCGAATATGCGTGGATCCTAGACGGCCTATCACGAGCCGCAAAGCCCATGAAAACAATTTGAAAGCAACATGGAGAGCCGGCGCTAATTGTAGAGGGCCTTTCACAGAATGGGGCTAAGATTTGGGAGGAGTGGATGGCCTCGTAACTCATTCACACACGCGAGCGGCCTGGGACAGGACCAGCTAATGTCTTGGTTGAACTTGACGAGCCCATCTCACGGACACACATCAAGACATGAGGGTTCCTATATGGAGCTGATCAGGATCAGAAATGATCCGGCAGTGGAGATTCAAGTTCTAGCCAGCCGGGACTCGTACCATATTATCCCCTCCATGCCAGATCATATGCGACCTTGAAGCTCCGTACAGTTTACTTGAGGTTCTCTGAAGACTTGACAATCACATCTCGGAAGGGCACGAGTACCTCGAGTCTGCCTTCACGTGAACAGATCGCCGAGCATCTCGTGATGGCTTTCCAGCGCTGATGTAATTGCATTCTCTTCCTCACTCGTGGCACACTCAGTCGCGGCACCCTTACAATATCAGAGGTCGCCCGGCTTGTTGGATGATGCCCGTTAAGTAATCACCCCAGCTCATCCTCGAAGAGTCTGTCGCTCGCCAATCCGACCGCGCTACAAACTACTAATTTGGTGGGAACAGACGGCTCAGGCGGTGATCCCATTTCCCAAGGCGCCATCAGTGGCAACTCAAAGATCCGCGATCAAGACATCTCGTAATGCTGTTCTTCTTTCCAAGGAATATAGTAGTCCAAGGGCATGCAAGTGGTCCCAATGGTGGCTGTCCTTTGCCCATCACAGTCCTTTTTCAATACAGTGGGCCTCCCAGAACCGCCGAACAAGCAACGACTCCACTGACTCGACAGACCATCCTGTCTGGAACGCATGCTGGGAGTTGTTGAATGGTCAGTTACAATAAGGGCATCGGTGCGGATTGTGGAGATCGTCTAAGCCATCACGAAAGAAGTTTACGCATCATGGTGGTCCTATCAGGTTTCTTGAGTGGTGGGATGTGGTTGGTTTGTTCATAAGATACCACGGAGCCAAAGGTCTATGTACATCAAGGCCCACAAGGTAGTCATGGCATGTTCATGACCAGACAGCATCGTTCGAGGCACCAACAGTGTAGACGTATGGAATACTCAATTTTCGCCCAATAAGAAGTGTTGTTCATTAAATCTTTCGTGCCATTATGAGCACACCAAGGGAGGCGCTATCTGGTTCGACCAGCGAATACCATCCTCCAACAATCAGCGGCCAAAACTTGTGCCTGCTGGCCCGAACCTGAACCTCATCCTGGAATGCCATACTCGCGAGCCTACTTTATGAGTCGCGGCGTGGAGTCTTGTTATCGAGAACCTTTCAAGTGGTCTTTCTCCCCAAACTTTCAATGGTGCTTCTTATAAGGGGCGGTTGCCCTGCTCAAAAACTGGAGGCAGAGCCTCGTCCACAGCCTCCTCCAGCTCCCGTATGGCCTCAAGTGCCTTTTTGGCAGCCGCTAAAACTCGGGGCCTCTTTGCATTATCTGCCTGGAGCGCCCTCTCAGCCATTCTCTTTCGGCGAACGGAACTCGCCAGCTGTTGATCGATATGCGACTGTAACGCAATAGCGTCGGCTTGAGCCTGTGAGGCAGAGTTCTAGTCCTCCTCATTGTCAACGCAGCCGTCAGTCTGCTCCTCGATGGCGCATAGACGAGCGAGGGTCTTCTCGCGCAGCTGGATGATGCTGCTCTCTGATTCTGTCTTGTCCATACCCGCGTCGGTCGCGTACTTGGCATCGGCGTCAATCCGTGTCCGGATTTTCCGGAAACGGCCTTCATCCTTGATGTCGTCCAAAACACACTGCAAAATGTCTGCGCTTGCACCTGCATTCTCAAGACCCTCGTGTGACGATACCGTTTGTTGGGCTTGACGACTTATTTCGCAGAGGGCATTCTGGGTGGAGTGGGCAGATTCCGCAGCAGCACTGGGGCGAGACACATCGGGGTTCAAACCGGCACCCGAACCCTCCCCCAAATCCGTTTCCGAGACGTCAATGTCGCCAATACCGCTGTCATCGATCTCGTGGTTGGGCATACCGGTAGAATCTGGCTTGTCTTGAGGATTGTTGCTTGAGCCCGACTCCGACAGTCCACCTCTACTAGGTAGAGTCGTATTTCGCCTATTTGATCGCGATCGGTCTCGCGACGATGCCGCAGTGGCTTTCTCCATGTTGCGTGAGGATGTGTCGGCGGGAATTGCTGAGGGAGTGGTGGCACCTGCAGGGCCTAGACAAGTCGCAGAAGAGTTGTTAGTGTAAGAACAACAGGGCGGGGGAGAGCGAGGCAGAGAAACTCACCAAGTTTCTTCGCGGACGTGAATTCCCGGGCTGAAAACCACTGGTCGAGGTAGCTTGGGCCGAGACCGCGGATGGACACGAGTCGATGAAATAGACCGTGGCCGTCAATGTGTGGGGGAAGCTTCAGCCAGCACGCACGAGAAGCGACAGCAGCAGGGCCGAAAAAAAGGTAAAGATCCCAGTGTGAATCGAGATGCAGATGGGTAACCGCCTTGAGGCGGTACGCCACCTCGTTTCGCTTGGACTTGACTTGGACTTCCCAGTGGTCCTGGTAAACAGATGCTAGGACCAGGCTTAACGTGGATTGGGGGATGGCACGCCTTAGCCACCGGGGGAACGGTTCGGCCTCAAGACGAGCGGGTAGCGTGGCAATTCGTTTGATCTTGGATGAATAGGCGAGAAGAAGTTGATTCCAGGCGTCAAGGATGCTTTGCTTGGACAGAACGGCGATTCGGTTGAGTTTCGCTACGGCGCGTCCAATTCCCGCGTCGAGATTGTCGTTTGCGTGGGGGCCTGATTGGGAGGGTGTGGCTGCAGCTCTTGAGTCCTCTGGAAGCGGTAGTTGTTGTGATGGTAAAGGCAATAGTGTCGAATCGGATGTTGTTTGTGGGTTAGGCGCCATTTACTTGAGAACGTCGTCGAAAATGAAGGACTGAGTCAAAAAAGGGCCAGGTTGAGGACGCGAGGTTGAGACACGCGACCGGAGTACACTCCGAGAGGTCGGAGTGTGTGTGAGCGCCCGGGCGCCTGTTGGTGGCAGGACGTACCGTTGTGAGTTGGTGGTGATGACGTAACAACGGGCAGGAGTGTGTAGGCGAATGGCCCGGTTACAAGGTTACTAAGGCAAGGTATTTTGTACAGGATGGTGACATGCGTCTAAAAGGTCCGTGGTTTATCCGTTTGGTAGTGGGGCGGCATAAGAATGGAAGGTGCTGACCCCGAATGGGAGTGGAGGTGCTGGTGCCAAATGGCAGGTGCTGGCGCGCCGGAAAAAATAAATGCAAGCACCCCAGAATCCGTTCCTTCCTTCTAGGAATGACTGCCAGCCGAACTTCAAGTCCACTCGTCGGAAGTGTGAATTCTGAGCTGTGCCTTGTTCGACATGGGAAAATATTTGCTCGAGCTCATCGACAACCGTCTCACTACTTCTACAAGCACATGCGGCAATGCCTGCGAAGTGTCAGTGAGTTGTTGATATTGGGAGGTGCTCGTTATGACGCCCAGCTGATTCAGCTGCTCAGTACGGTGTGGTGCAGCTGGGGCGGGTTCAAGAGCTCGATGCCATCTGTGAGACAGAACTCATTTCCAAGCATGTGTGCGCCAATGCAGTGGTCGGCACAAGCTTTGGCCCACAGAGGCATCAAGTGAAAAGCTGAGGTAATCGCTGGGTAAGGTGAGGTGAGGTGGGTAAGGTAAGTTGGGTGGAACAGGCAAATGGCGCTAATGAAAAGCCTAGAGGTACCTTATGCCGAGAGACAAAAGCAAGTACTCCGTAGTGCCCCGCCGTCAAAATATGTTGGAGAGGAAGTTGCTCGCCCGACGAGAGAGACACGGAAGCACTGCGTCTACTTCCTTTCGTTCTAGCTGTCAATAAAGTAGCGAGAGTTGTGCGAGCGAAGCAAGACATCTTGGAGGCTTTTCTAAATGGGCAGGCGTATGGTCAGCAACTGCCTTACTCTCCTGGGTAACTTGAGACGGGAGTGAGGTTCTTTCCCATTTACCTTAACCGAGGACCCGGTATCCCTTCGATCATCCGTACCTTCCTCCGACATGATCAGGTACGTAAGGAAACATCTAAGGAAGGTACCTGCACATTACCCCTCTCTCATGCGAAAGGCATCTGTCGCCACATTCACGTCTTGCCAACCTCCGAATCGCGTTCACCTTCCAATGCCACACACCTCACAAAGTCATCCACCTCACAACCTCATTTCTCAATCTCCATTCCGTCAATCCGCATACAGTCAGTCCCGTTCGTTCGATTTCCACCAGTTCAGCCTTCACCTATTGACATGTCAACTATTCCATTTGGGGTCGTTTGACTTGGACTCGTTCATCCTCGACTCGTTCAAATCACGAAAATACCCGCATCCTCGGGATTTCCCAGCACCAGTCATCCCCCAGCTTTGCGGTACGCCTTTCTCGCAACCAATCAGCCAGAGATCCCGGGCCCATTGTGTCATTACGCGGTTCATCGTGGGCGCTTTTGTTTCTTTGGCCATTGCCCGCCCCCAGGGCGGCCTTGAAGGCGCCAAACGACATCAAAGCAACAGTGAGTGGTGCCCCAGCTGCCCCGACTCAGCAACCGGGGTGGCGCTAAGTGGTTGGCAGGAGCAGAAGGAGCGGATGGTCTGAGTGGCCAGCCAGCCACCTTCCGCCAAACACAGACACGTTCCAAACTCTCCCAATCTTTTGGGTGTTTTTGGCAAAACTTCCCAATCACATGACCTTTTTCCACCAACACGTTCAAGTACGTACCTACTCGCTTTCGGCCGGACATCACCCCCAATCCTGAACACCACGTGGCGGCAACACGCCCGTCTCATCCCACGTACCTTGTACCGCGTCACTCTCGTTATGTTGTCCCCATCCGCGGCTAAATATCTAGAGGAACTGAACCTCTTTGAGGCGAAATGCGAGTCCTCCGATCAACAACTTCTCTCACTCTACGGGCGCTTCAAAACCTCCTACTGTGGTGCAACGGCAACATCCTCGACATCGTCTATCGACTTTCGAATCTTCGCACTCGCTAACATCACACCTTATCTCGTAGAAGCCCTCTGCAGACTTCTCCATCGATCGACAATTGAACGAATCCCCACGGCTGACAACGTGAAGAATCGCCTGCAAAGTCTTGCTGTTGGGCTGGAAACTCAGCCGCATGTCCTTGTTGAATTTCTCGGGCGCGACATATGCTTGAGCCGGACAGCCATCGGACATATCCAGGACTGCCTCTCTGTCCGCCCAGACCTCCGCCTCCCTGACCTGCTCCAACTCCTCTACGACGAGCAGGCCAAGGTGCTCAACAACCCCAAGGGACTGCGCCAGGTCGCCGACATCACCTTATTACGGCGCATGAGGGAATCTCGTGAGTCCTACCGACCTGTCGTTTCTGGTGCGCACCTCGCTCCCGCATCAGTTTGCTGACCCAGCATGTCTACCGTAGTCAACCCGGGTGTTGCCAAGACAAAGAAGCTCACCGTTGCCCGACCTGGACCTCCCCCCGGCGCTCGTCACCCATCCCAGGACGGGTGTGCTGACGACATCGTCAAAGGAAGTATGGTCAATCTACGCCAACCACCCCGCGAGACGTTGCCGGCGGCTTCTGAAACCCACAAACACACGCTTGTCGACAATGCCGACACCATTGTCGGATCAAACCAGTCTGTAAATGAGGACGAGTCATTCTCATTTGCTGGCAGCGGGCGGTCCTCGCCAGTCAACTCGCCTGAATCTGGACGAAGAGCGGGGTCGTGGTTCGAGGACCAAGGCCTGTCCGAAATGAGCGATCTCCTTCCACCGGACTCGCCCCAGAACCAACACCTTCCACCCGCAAAACGAAAGCAATGGGACCCACTACACGAGCAAACATTCAGTGAGAGCCGGGGAGAGGACTTGGCTGTCGACAGTGGCGACGCAAACCGGCTCAAAGTCTAGGGATCACCGAGCTGGGGAGTCGTCGAGGAAGAATTCAGTCTCCCTGAGACAGTCCAATCCCGCAGCCAACACCGAATCAAACGTCCGCGACTATCGCCAGTACCAGAGGCTGGAGATAAGATGGTACAGACAGGCAGTATTCACCAGAAACCGTCGCCTCACGCTATAGGGCCAGCTAGAGACGAGGAATCAAAGACACGCAGCGCCCATCAGACACCAACGTCTCGGGATACACAGCCAGAGCCAGGACCCGGGCCAGAGAGCTCCAAAGCGGCCATTGTGGCAAACATGCTCAAGGTACCCACGAAGGAGGCTAAGCCACCGCAGGGCGATTCGGTGAATGGCGAAAGGTCAAATGGCGTGCAACGAGGTTCGGCCGAATCCCGCGTCCATCCAAAGTCTCAGCAGGCCTCTTTGGACACTCTGATCGCGGGCCTGCATTGTCTAGACGATGGTCACATGCTGAACGACGCCGTCATCAATGTCCTAATTGGAACTCTCGCATGTGACAGCGTTGGCGTCATTGACAGTCTCCAGCTCACTAGCCCCTTCAAACCGTCCCCGGGTCTACAGATGCGACTGTTGGCCTTGCGTGAAACGAACATCCTTGTCATGCCATGCTTCCACCGGCAAAGCAATCATTGGCGGCTCTTTATCCACTTGAGAGGTTCAGACTCCATTGCGGAGCTTGACTCGCTGAATCTTCCAAACAAGCAGGGATTCAACACAGTGATCCCAATGGTGGCGCGAATCCGTGGCCCTCCCGGTCCCACAAGAGTTGAGAAGGTTCGTACAGAAAACCTCGGGCGCCCAGGCCCCGACTCCCAACGTCTTACTAGGGGCCTTGTCGCGCTGACTTGACTTGATCTAGATCCGGTGCGCCCAACAAGGCAACAACATCGATTGTGGCGTCTTTACCGTGGCGTTTGCCATGAGGATTGCGCCGGCCACGACATTTCCTCCGCCAGGCCTCGAAGACCAAGTCGACGTGCCCGTCTTGCGGCAAAGGTACAAAAAGATGCTACTGACATCTACCCTCGCCAGTCCTCCAGCGGCCCTTCTTGCCTTCCGCCCTCTTCGACGATCACAACCGGGGCCACACAACGATCTACTAGGGTCGGACATCAACGTCATTAACTTCCAACGGCGATTATGGGACAAATGCCGTCATTTAAGAGCCATTAGAGGCTTTGATGACAATCGAATCGCCAGTCTACAACTGCAATCCGAGCTCATCCAGGCTTCAGCAATCTGCTGTACCGCAGGCCTCGTCGATATGCACCATTGGCATGCTACAGCGATAGACGAGGCAACCAGAGCGGCCACTGCCGGGCGGACGCTCTCTGTTGTGACACAAATGAGGGGTCAGATGGCTGATCTCCTTACGAAATGTTCTGGAACCCAGAACAGATACCTTTCCGCCCAGCAGCAAGTGGCTCTTCGGATGATGGGATCTGCCATTGGCACGGCTATCAATGAGTTTCCCGATCATACTCAGTCAAGCGCCCAGGCCCCAACCCAGTCCTTGGAGTGGAGTCTCTGGACAAAATGTGTCGTCTGGTGGCTAACGGCAAGGCGTGCTACAAATCTGTGCCACAGAATACAGAAGCAGTGGCATGCCAACCATGTACAATTGGTCGACGCGAGCAGGGATGAGGCCGAGGCAATGGGAATTATGCGCAGGAACATTTGATCGAAATCCATTCATCGGTGGATATGGCTACATACGACGATAGACAACGGCATCTGCATCGTTTATAATGAAATGGGCCATGGCCATTGTTAGAAATGCCTTGACCACACGAGGGAAGGATGGAAGCGGAATTTGATGAGGTTAGTACGACGCGTTAGATGGTAATGATGTATGATTAAAGCAAAGCGTCTGGAGTGGTTCGGTGCTTAAGCAATGGCTTGTCAAGGCTTGATAATGGGGAAATAGTCATTAGCCAACTTTCACTGCCCGGGCTTTCAATGTCAGAAGCTTGAGAACACAGTTTAAAAGTATCGATCGTGATTGCGAACCCAAGTAGCAAAACATGGTATAGGTTTGTCGTGGCAGCCAGTTTGCAAACTTCAGTCTCCCCTTGTTGAAGGTCAGTATAATACCCCAGATGCCAAAGTTTTCTTTACCATCCCACTAGTATGCGCCGTACAAGGTGGCCATCCTAGAATCAATACAGGGCAGTCTTGAGAATGTCACTCGAGTTCATTCTGTTCACAGGCCCAGCCCATGCCAGTGAGACCCGATAAGTTGAGCCACTTTTCTAAAGCTCGCCCCTCTAGCCATCGTAGCTTGAAAGATGACAATGTCATTCGGCAAAGCCATTGAAAAAGAAAAGAAAAGAACCCCGCCAGGTCCGGAAATGATAAGGGAGGAGGCAGTTAAATGGGCAGACGTTGCCTCGCCTGGCATCAAGACGACGTCCGAGTCACCGATCGCTCCAAAGAGCCAGTGCTCGAGCGAGCTATGGCGCTTAAAGCAGACCCCAGCTCAATAAGCGAATTGTGAGGCTTTGAGTAAATAGCGCATGCGCGAGAACCACCTTCAGTAGGCCCTGTGTGACACGATTCTGCTTTTCAGCAAGTTTGAGGAACATTACCGATGTTGACTTCACTGCACGCCAGAGCAGGAATGTGGCGGCTGAAGTCATGAGCAGGTCGCAGCACGGACTCATTGCAGCAATATCTCAATGCAAGGTACCTGTGCTGGCTGAATACATTAGGTTATGTCGGAATCTCATTGAGAAATTTGCTCATTTTTGTTACTACACTCCCAGCGACCCCACTGCCGTGCTCGATCTCCCGCTTCGTTACATTTCTCGGCAGCATTGATCACGGGGGACGACGACCATGTCTCCTCTACCTATTCTCAGAATCCGGCGTTAGACACGGGCACCTGGACAGCCGTGTGACCCCAGAGCTGCGGCCACGAAGACTTCCCCAAGATCGTGCTGGGCGAGGTGCGGACCTTGCTCGCACGGCGCAAGTCATGCCACTGACGCCATCAGCAGAACCTCTGCTGCATCGGCGGGCTGGACAATGCTGAGCTGGTGGACCATGAGGTCAGCGAAACGGGACTCAGTGTGTCTACAGCGCTAGATGCACCACGCAGAGAGCATAAGGAGCCAGAATGGCTCCATCAGTCAAATCCGGGTTTCACTCAAGGCCACCGGCAAGATTCCATACTTACGTCGAGGCTGGGCGATGTCAAGATGCGGCATTCAATTCAAATCTGATGGACCATGGCGACCTCTTCATACGTCTGCATTCCTAGAGTTCGATCTCGCTCGCCAAATTCATTGTGCCGATGCATCCGACATTGAGCTTCCTTGACGTGCCACGGGGTGGTGCCGACAAAAGGTTTTCCAAATCAAGCATCTCAGCCATTCTCGAGCGCGGCGGCTCCGTTGATCTATGCGAATCAGAAAAGACTGGCTGGCACTGTGACGCTGGCGATGAAGATACCCGGTGGAAGATGGCCTTCCGGAACCGCTACCAGATCGTTCGGTGTCAAGGCCCTTTTCTCGATTCCTTTATGCCGGGCGTTTAGTCTTATAAGCCTGAGGACCGTGACGATGCCGACAGCAATGCCGAGAAGTGCAAGACCGCCCCACTCGGGCTCAATCCGCGATTCGGTTGGTCGACGATAAGAAACGCGCCAAATATCATGTAGAGCACGCCGCATACGAGTGTCATGTATATGGAGACAATCGTGACAATGAATCTGCGGAAGATGAGGGCCCAAGGACGCAAAAGATTAATACTGATCGACTGTCAGATTTGGCCGCGAGCCGCTCGTCTGCAGCCGGGTTCGTAAGACCTGACCCCCCGCCATCTCGAGCGCCTGAGCTCGTCGTTCGAGGATCACGGGACGTACGTCTCTGGGATGAGGCCAGTGCCCAGATTCTAGAGGATACTGGAGATGATGGCCCTGACTCTCGTACCCAGCGCCAACCTCCATACTTGTCAGCGAATCCACCGAGAGTTGGGCCGAGGAAGCATCTCATGAAAGTGCCGGCCGCAAAAGAGGCGACTTGCATCTCTTTCCCTGCAGCAGAGAACGAATCAACAGGTGCGCAGCTGGAGTTCGCTCATTGGCGAGGACCCAAAGGTGCTCAGGAGCTGAGAAATCATGACAGCGAGAACGCCGCTGGATTGGGCCGCGCTGAGGTTAAAGGTGTTTGAAAGGCCAAGTGTATCGATCATGAGGTTTCTGCGGCCAAAAAACTCTGACGTATGGCCCCAGATCAGCGGTTCGATGATGAAGTCGATGAGAAACAACGCAAGCCCCAGGTTTGCGACATCCTGACCACCTCTGAACGCAGCCATGTGCTCTGCCTCACCGCGAGTGTATGTGTACGAGCAGGAGGAGACTCTAAAAGTTGTAACGGATGCGGCATTGCATGTCGCCCATCTTCGTAAGGTCATCCATTTTTGGGGTTTTCAAAGTTGTTGGGTAGGAACTCGCAAACAATAATGGGTCGATCTCAAGATCCTCCGCCCACATGAGTGTGGCTCACCACTTCGGGGGCCAAAACAGTATCGTTGAAGATTTTTTTGGTAGTTAATGTCCGAGTCTTGGTGAGAGTTAGAATGGATCGTTGAAAAAGGCCGCTGGACCGAGAGTTCGTCCGTCTGCCTGCCTTATGCGTCAGAGAAAGACGTGGGAGGTTCATAGATCGGCTGTGATGAAATAAGATGCCGAAAGACCGCGTCTCTTTGTTTCTGGGCTCGATCAGCGTGATTCCTGTGGCTTTTCGTCTTCTTTGTTATCAGAGGCAGTCGGATGGCCGACAATCTATCTCACCAGCAGCATATAGCGCTCTGAGGCTGTTCAGGCGGCCGTTTTGGCACCGGCTCAAGGGCGAATGCATGACACGGGAAACCGGGCCAGGTATCCTGGTCGGATCGCCGCTGATAGCAAGTGATCCGTCCCAGTCAATTGTTATGTTCACAAGCTTATTTTCTGAAAGGCTTTAGAATATCAACACCCGACAAGCGATTGGGCTTCTTGGGCGGGCGCTCACCTGTGTGGTCTGGTCGCATGGAACCATGTTCGCTGCCTTCGGTGCTGGCATTCCGGCGCTTTCTGGTCTTATTTAGAAACGCAGAATGTATCTTGGAGCTTTCTGTCACCTGTTACACAGGTCAAGCAGTCAAAAGCGTAGTTGGCAACATGAAGTCTGCCAAGTTCCAAGGCCAAAGTTTTCGGCGATCCTGGCACAAGAAGGATGGTTTCGGACGAAACTCCAGATCCTGAACTGACAACACATTTGGAGGAACATGCCCGGTGGGTCATATATGTCGAGGTGACGACTCGCATCTCTTGATGGCCACTGTTTGAACTGCACACCCATTGCTGCCGGGAATCGGGTTACTATCGACACACCAGCCTCGTCATGCTCGTCAACACCGTCTTCGTCGTCTTGCGAGCTCTAAAGCCCGCGGTATTGATCAGCCTCTTGGTGAGCGTCTATCTACTGCATTTAGCAGTGCAATGAAGGCTAAGGCACATCCCGATTACGAACAAGACGCCCGACGAGTAATCTAACGAGGAGGCTATAGACCGGACTCCGATCAACGCAATGGAAACAGTCAAAGATGCTTTCTCAGAGGTATGTGACGTTCCATCATATTTACATGCCTATCAGCGTGGATCATTAACGCAAATGTTACGCGAGACAAAGGAAAAACATCCCAGCTTATCAGCCAAGTCGGGCATCACGTAATCCTGCATCTCCACTTGATTGATTCTTTGAAGTCCGATGACCGCCTCAGCTCTTCCAAAGTTCTGAGAGGTACGTTCCCATTGACATTCCCGACTTCGGCGATCTGCTGGAGCCGACGGGGCACGGAAACCACAAGGTGTTCTTTCTCGTGCTCCGCTAAGCAATGAACCATGATCTAAACGAGTAGTAGTAGTGACTCCAACATGAAGTCGTGCTGATATGTAACAACAGCGAAAGGGTTTTAAACACTTCAGACACATATAGGCAGGTTTACAGAGGCTCTGCAGGAATAGAGTCGCAATGCCTTGGCCAAACAATCGGGCGATGACGACGGCAAGCATTTCGAACTCAAACTCCAAGAGTGCGGGCAACTCTGGAGGTCAATACGCTTATCAACATGCTAAATTTTCTGCAGAGGTGGAATAGCCGAAGTTTGACGCGCTGACTACTACGCGTAGGATCGCCACGATGCTCCTAGCTAGAGCGTTTCTCGGCGAGGAGGCCGCTCATGACGACGAATGGCTGATCGTCATGATAGACTAGGTATACGGTGAACCTCTGCCTGGCTCAGAGACTGCTGTTTTAATTACGCGGGTAGCCTCATCTTGCTCTGGCTCCTCCTCAGGTGTATCAAGCTATGGCAGAAGTACAGTCACGCCGCGACACTCCCAACCCCTATCCTCGAGAGGCGCATGAAGCAAATTGAACTTGCCAAGCAGGGTGTGGCGAAGATGCCTACTCAACGATACTGTCGAATGGATCCATGAAGTTTCCAAGGGTAAAGAATGGGCCCTGTTGACGTTCAGCTTAATATTCCGATCGTGTCGCTCCATGGGAGTTCTGAACTTCTGGGCATGTTCTGAGCGACTTGTGCAAGCACCCCGAGTAAATTGACCCTCTGAGAGAAGAAGCTGTCCCGAGGCTTGCTGCAAACGGCTAGGAAATGACCTCACTCTACAAACTGAAGCCGATGCACAGCCTGCCGGACTAGGGTTTATGTGTAGTGCCTGCAAGCGTGATTGGTCTAAGCCCCCTGCCCCCCTTTTTGTTCTTCGGCAGGCCAGACAGAAACAAACATGAAGCGATGAGATTGACAGATCGAACATCACCGTAGCGAGAGGCCGTATGGTCACGGAAGATATGATTCTCGCCGACGAGACATTCCTACCTTGAGGAGCCAAGGTAGCAGCCATGACTCACTTTCAATGGTATCGTAGGTCTGCGAGAACACGGTAGAGTGGCAAGGTGATAGCTCCGTGAACATAATTGAGGTGGATAGCGACCGGGTATCAGCCACAGAGAACGCGTCGTGCTTTGTCTCTACGAGTGCTGACCATCTAAGTTCCGGCCACAGCTCGCATGCCTGCATAGGCCACTTTGCTTTGAACGATTTGAAGCTGGTCTTGACGGAATCATGCCTGACTACAAGCTCAAGTGTTCCAACGTTCCAACGAAAGGGGATTTCCGCCACCGCCTTCTTCTTCTACTGCGTGGCTGGTCAGTCTTGAGTCCAAGTTGCATGTGAGGAGGAGGTCTGGATAGGTAGAAGACTTAAATCCTACGTGTACATTTATTCAAGTTTCCTCCGCATAGAACACCACCAGCGGACTTGCTGGAGAGGGCCAATGGTATCCTCCTATGTGATTTATTGGCAACAAGCGTACTATCCAATGCCATTGCGGTTCGAGATGGTCTCAGGAATGACTGTACAACTATGAAGCAAGGCTTTGACATCACTATGACTGCCGAGCTCAGCTATCAAGTCGTCAGATCCGAGTGAATGTGAAGTTGCTACAATAGCTGAGATGAACCGAATTGAACCCCTCCGCCAGGCAACAGCGGCCAGGGCAATGTACTTGCGTCTCGTGGCTCAAAGTTTAGCATTGAAAGTCGCCAAACAATCGATGGCACTATCTTGACCGACTGTAACCGGAGTTTTGAAGTCACACATTTTATAAACCTTGGAGTAGCTAATCATCAGATTACGGGAAGCGGGAAGCGTCACGAGAACCTTTCCCCTTCCTAAATGTGTATTTGTCGGATTGGAAGTCCAATTCGACCGCGGCATACGGCCAACTGCGCAGGGGCCAATTGGGGGCCCTATTTACGATTATCGTAGCTAGCCCAACCTACGGTTGGAACCTCCTTTTTACACCTACGCAGAAATTCATATAGTTCAATTGATCTCTTCGTCAACCCACGGTTCGAACCAACTACCCTGTAATAGGGATACCAACAGTATTTCAGCGCTTTCGTTTCTTGAGCTTCTTCGTACGTCACGTGATTCTTAGCATAATACTTCATTATCCACTTTTGACAATTTATCATCGGAATAATCCATCCTGGAAGTGCAGAGGAAATCAATAGTCATACTCAGCGAAGGGTTCTCAACCCAGACGTCTTTCATCACCCATAGGATTTTACATGCGGCGTTGAGGAGTGTTTGCAACGCGGCAAGCTGTTTGTTATCCATTCAGAAAATTTGACTCTGTTCATCTCAGAGAGTACAGCGAACGTGGACCTAGGTTGATAGTCAAGGCCATGATACCCATGACGGAAGTAATGGCTAAAAGCTTGCGCGCCAGGGAGATGGCGAACAAGCCTATTCACGAGCGCGACCGTCTTGGAAAAAGAATTTCTGATGACGACGATAGGAGCATATGAAACCTTGACCGGAGCAGTTGGCGGTGAAACAAATCGCGAGACGAGATCGTTGACGGCGTGGGCGGGGAAGACGCCGTCCTGGATATTCATACGATAGGGATCAATAGTGTGCCCGTCGAAGCCACAAGTTCGGTCTCTTCCAGGACAACACTTCGCTGATCACAAGATACAAAGGGCTCTCATACCTGGCCCTCGTCGTAACAAGCCTATCAATTCACAAACAAACTGGGAATGAACACGGTTTGAGTGTGTTCCTGGCGTGCAACTTCAATGACAATCAAGCGACAGCGAGGCTTCGGTAAAGTCTGGGCATCCTTCAAAGTCTCCCTTAGTATTGGTGTTGCGTGGAATACGATCGAGGCATTGATTTAGTCGCACAAATGGGACCTGAGCTCCTGCGCCGTGGGATGGCGGCATGTGTCGAGTACCTTAAACGGAAGTCCATCTTCTCTGCGTTTCTCTCCAAACCCTTAGATATCCTGCCTAAAAGGAGCGCCCGAGATGTCGGTGAAGACAAACCTGTCAAATGACAATCTAATTACATGTAGGATCTGGGAAGTGTGAGCTTGCTGACTTCTAGGACTGCCAGGTCATTTAACGAGTGGTTGGTCTGCCCGAGCATTGTCTGAATATGGTTGTATGTGTCACCATAGCCCAAGGCTCCCCGTGGAGCTCGGTGAGCAAGCCGTCTTTTTCCATGAAGTTAAAAGCGCTCTGGTTATTCCCAGCGGTTGCCACGGCGGCTTCACAGACTCTTTAGGTGAGGGGAACAAGTGCATGAAATACAGTACTAACCACAAAGTCAGTTGCGGTATTTTCAGCCAGCCTTTGCGGTCTTATCCCACTTGGCTTCATACCACACGGTACGGGCAGCCTTGACCTAGGTGGGTATGTGTTCATATAAGTGACTCTGTTACTTAATCGCAAAAAGTCCGCTTTTGCTGTCTTTATTAGTAATGCCATCACGGAAGTACTTGATGTACCAGTATATGAGTCGCAAGGCCTTGGGGCTTAGCTGACGCAGGCTTAATTTCGAGAACACCTTGTGGTTATCAGCGGCCAATGGTAGGGAGAGAAAGCTCCCTGAAACTAAGACTCTCGATGTTTAGCATGGCGACATGGGTCTCGGGATCCAAGAACTCGAAGTCTCCTTCAGCTTTGTTACCCGCGCTTGCTGCGTTGGATGAGATAGATTTGGCTTGGCCGGAGAGATTGGAAACTTCTGAAAAGTTGTCGGAGTCCGAAGAGCTCAGTACGATCCTGCCAATGCCATGTGGTACCAGAAGAGCCCGCAGACGCCTGTCACTCAATGCGTGTACGCTCAAATGCAAATCTGGAGCACGAAATCCAGAGGCGCAGCGTATAACATCATTTGGCGATGGTTACACACCTATATCCTCAAGTTGATGGTGCTTGATGGTACCATAGGCTTTGATGTCTAGTACCCGTACCCGATCCCATGGACCGTGATGTAGAACCTATCGACAATAAACTTATTCAGATGAGCTGGCTCTGTCAGGGGCAGACAAGGTCTCTACGAACTGGGTCCGTAAGTGACGGCAATCAAACTCGCGGCTAACAAGATGTGACTACCTTTTCAGGCAAGACAAGAGTTGATGGTGAAGTTAGATGTGTCGTAATTGTCTGTGGTCTTCAGCGAGTCAACACTGAGATCATGGTTTACCCCAATCATGCTTTCTCCTTCTTCAAGGGTAACAGCCTCGACGATGCTCGGATTCGGAACTTTCGGAAGGTGAACTTCTTGGGCATCGGTAAGCCTGACAGCCGCTCCAATACCCATGAACACGTATCACGAACTGGAAAGAATAGGCTATCCGTGAAGAGCAGCCGTCTCGTCAATTTTTGTCTTTCTGGCGAAGGAAAATCTTTTTTTGGACTGAAGAGGGGCTCCCGTCAGCGAGCTGCCTGCCAACCAAGAGATGAAGTCGTTCATATGCAGATGTTAATTGAGGCACAATGACATTCTCGACATTATTCTGCTCTTGAAGTACCTGTTCCTGGCCTCAGACGGGCTCTGTATTCCAAAAGAATTGAGAGTAAGCTATAAATCACGATGTGTTAATACACCTTTGCCTTGGAAGATTTGATCTACTGCAGCTCATTTCCCACGACCCACAAACACATTAATTACGACATCTGATTTCCAGCGCCAATCCCCAATTTCCGCTAGCAGACCTTAGTGTTGGATAGCTAGCCGTGGATTCCCAAAAAATAAACAAGTGATTCATGTTTCCGCATATCGTGTCTCGAGTAAAGACCAAGATTGACAAGTAAATGCCATTGAATCCGGCGTGAGTCTATCGCAAAAAGGATGTTAGACAGTTTTGATTACATGTGACTAGAGTACCGTTTCTGTTAAGAACCAGAGATTGATGGAAACACTACTAATTTGCAAAAGTTCAGTGCATCAAAACCAGGAATTACAAATAGAGATCATCCTTGATGCCTCCCCTGACCTCCGGAGCATACTTCTCAATCATACGCAAATGCTCCTCTAACCATCTCCTTCTCAAAGCAAGTTCATTCTTCCTCTTCTTGTCCTCTTACGTAGTCTCATCCAGAATCTCCTCAATTTCTTTATCTATCACGGTGAAATCGACGGCTCTCTATAGATCGCGGATCAAGCGTCTCTCAAAAACCTAATAGATCACGTTCTGGCCCCAAACGTATCTCCCTCGTTGGTAAGTCTTATACGCGACGTAGGCATTTTCTTCCGCATTGGAGGCGAGAATATCCCTCTCCTCGAACATTCCGGCTGCCCTGGCGTGTTTCTCCTGGTCCGCTGGCTCAGGATCGTGGCTTGTCAATGCAGTCGCAGCCAAAACTATGGAGGCTCTGTGTAACTCCTTAAAACGTTTAAGGTTTCTGAAGCCAATTCTGTCCTTGTAGGCTTCAGCATCGATGCTGAGCATAATGTCTTTGCGGTCAAGCTCCAGTCGTTTGAGCTCTGCTTTGGCCTCCGAACCGCGTTTGACCACATCGCCATCAATGTAAGAGCTGTAAAATCTATGGGCCAACTTTTCCGCGTTGATAAAAGGCTTGTGAATCGTGTCACCATACGGATTTTCGAGGAAGTACAGGATAGTCTCTTCAAAGTAGCGGCGGATTGTACTCATAATCACCAGGCGATGGTGCTCCGCAATATCATGGAATCTGACCGACATATAGCGATATAGGTCCTCAACAAAGCGATGATTGACCTGAGCCTGACCTTCGGGACCCATTTGGTCCTTTAGCTTTTGGACGAAAAAATCAATCTCTTGTTTCTCAGTGGTCCATTGATCTACCGGCCATTTTAGCCATTCTTTTGGCGGAGTGGGAGCGGCGTCGCGGTGAAGTGCGTGAGGGCGTACAGATGCACCTCTGGGGCCGAACTCCTCGGGGCAGATAAAGCTTCGATTTCGGAATGCATACTGTATCAAATCATCGACAAAAAACTGTTCCTGGCGAGCAGTTGCCGGCCGTAGCAACGTAGGACCAACTTTACCGTCCTTGATCTGATTCACCGAGCGGTTGTTATCTGACAAGTGTTCGACAATCTTGCTGTGTAAAGTCGAGTGCATGTATCTAAAGGCTGCGACACGGGTTTGCAATGAATCGTCAGCGGTGAGCCCACTCTGCTATTGCAAAGTGTGATCGAGCAGTCTGCGTAGTTCGTTGCTATATCGTGGTAGGTTCTGGCGCCACTTTTGCTGCTGCCATGTACCAAGATATAGAGCCAATTGCTCAGCACCACGTCTCTTATAGGGCACTTCGCTCCAAGGGTTGTTCGGATTCTCGAACCATGCGGTCTCCTTTTGGGAGTCGGGGACTCCCTGCTCGGACCAGTTCATCAACACGTGGAACCGGCCCTTATACTATGAAGTACCTCGATCTTAGTCACTCAAAGCATTCTTCCAAGCTTTCGCCTGCTCAGTGGCCACGTGTAGATTCGCAACATCGGGCTTAGTAATGACGCAGACGGAGCGATCGTAGAAGTTCTTCTCGGCTGGGTCACGCAGTGTCCGTGCCGCCGTATCCACCCCGCCAGCGTCGGAGGCGGCTGGAATAACCGTAACAACAAGCGAGTCGTGACGCCTAATAAACATCCTAGTAATAGATTCAATCTGTTCCTTGGCCCCCGTATCATCGTCGTCGCCGATCAGACCCGGAAGGTCAACGATAGCCAGGTTCTTAATACCAGGCATCGATAGCGTAATATTAAGAATCTCGCTAGAAATACGATATCTCCCGTATTGCTCCTCGGGAACAGCCGCAAGGATGTCTTTAGAGGCATTATCCATAATTTCGTTAAGCCTCCGTTCAAAGTCAACGTCGAAATCCTAGCCATCCCATTCCTCAACAACAGGGGTTAAGTATAATAAATGTTAATTATCGTTATCATCCACTCGCTCAATCTCAGCCCGAAGTTAACTTTTTCTTAGCTTATCCGTAATTTCAGATAGTTGAGTTATGATCTTGGTGACGAACCGCGTGCACATCTCATTACCGACCTTAAAGGGGATCTTCGTAATAGCTCTTAACACAGAGCTCTTGCCTGCGGACTGGCTGCCACAGACGATGATCCAAGGGAGTTCCAAGTCGTGTTTAGTGTGTGAATTACCATCTCGGAGAGCTTTAAAAAGTTTAGAAAGATTGAGGTCATCCTCACTAGCTTTCAGAAACTCATTGGGTAATCGAGGAGTATCAACGCTCGTGTGCGATGAGCCCGAGATACCGTCCACATCTTCATCAGAGTTCTCTGTAGAAGACATTAAGGCAGGATAGCAGGGCGATAATTGTGAAGTGAGGATAGAGTGCGTAAAAGATCGGACAGGCAATAGGGAATATTTAGTCGCGAAGTTTCTTTACGGCCGGCACGGGGGGAGGACCCGGGTCCTTCAGTTTTGCGTCTCATCGCGTCAGTATCAAGGGGCAGTAGTTATCAGCCCCAGGGCTGAGGTGCCTATGTATTCCATCTTTTCTGCGGGCGACTCGGTTCGCTTAGTGGCAAGACGAGTTCGCTCTCTCAAGGCTAATCACTTCTGGCTTCCTGACACGTCTGTCTGACTATGGATAGTTCATTACGTCAAGGCTTAGAGGAGGTAATTATTCCTCTCAAACATGGTCCGTCCGATCAAAGAGTAGAGCAAGAGTGTACGCACGGGAAGCTAATCCACACTACAAGATCAAAGGGCTTCTTAACTTACACGCCCCTCAAGTTACGCCAGCTGCAAGCCTCCAAACCTATCACCCAAATGTATTACAGCATTGATCCTTCTAGTTATGAGCGCTTGGAACGATAGTGACGCTTCTTCATCTTACTATTGAATGTGACTGCCTCAGCTCGCTTGCCTTTCCGTCAATGCCATTCGTTAAACCCAGTCCCTATATCTCAACCGGCCCTCCCTAGACATCGAAGTATGCCGCTCAACATATCCACCGACATCTAACAAGGCTCTAACTCGAAAGTTTCTTTCAGCTAGAAACACTAGTTTGGGCCGAGAGCGTCTGCAAGCGTTTCGTTATTATTCTCCTGTCTCAGCCATGTCGTTTTCCTCAGCATATTCCCTTCACCAGCTTGGCATTCGCGTTCCATTCCGGTGAAGCATTGGGACGTTGGCTAACCGCTACTCACACAGTGGCTGCCACTTAATACATTAGTACAGGCCAATCGGACTCTTCCCCTAGCTGAGGCTTCCGCAGAAATGCACGTTCGAGACACACTTGCTTGTTTGCGCTTTGCAACACACTAAAAAGCACGGATGGCTCAGCTTCAGCTCCAGCTCCTCACATTTGCATTCGGAAAAAAGCCACAAAGGGCACTTGTCGTACCTGTACATGACTTTGACATCAAAATTTCACGGTCTACAGATCGGCACATGAGACACAGCAGCCTTAGGCAAAGACGAGCCTTCAGCCGCCGGAGAGATAGTAATCGGCCTTCACATTGTGCCGCCGGTTCGCCTTGATGTTCATCTTCCTCGCTCATAGCCGATATGTTGATGGGTTCCTGGCTGAAATCAAGAACCAAAAGTCAAAGAGCGAAATTAATGCACAACAGTATCTTGAAGGCGGTGTATTATCCTTTTCTCTCTCACCTTTTGTCCCCAGCAAGCCACAATGGTTGTCGGTCTCGACGATGTCATGGCTATTATGGGAATCATATCGGCTGCAATCTCCGCAACTCAGGCGCTATTGGAAATCATCGAACGCTACAAGCTTGATCAGCGTCTTTTGGCAACATTTCGGCGGTCGCTGGCCCAGGTAAAACATGGTGCTAGAGTATCAACAAACGTCCTCAGACGTGCCCTTGACGCCGCCTTGGGTAAGTGAGAGGAACAGAGGGGAAAAACAATTTGCCTTTGCTCTGCTCGACTTCCGTCTGAACATGATAGAGCTAACCTGCTATGACAGGTAGGAGCCACGACGGGAATTTGACCTCGTGGATCAAAAAGGCAATCGACATTGACAAACGACGCTTGGCTTTGCTTCAAAATACCATCTCGGCCGAGAAATCCGGCAAAAACGAAGCTTATGTTGCATTGGAGAAAGAAACCAAGGCACTTGAAGCATATGCCAAAGGCGCCAAAAGAGAAATCGAGGCCGTTGAAGAGAATAAGTCAACGCAGAGTCCGGTTGATTTGAAAGGGCTCTTCCCTACCTTTGGGACCATGATGTTGCCGACGCCCATTGCCGATAGGGGTGGCAGCCGTGTCTTTTGCTCCGGGGCCGTCATTTGTCAACAGGAGGTGTCGCGACAGATTGCCTACATCCAGAGTGAAGAGATCCCGGGAGGCAAGGGATGGTTCGTCTGCAAGTTCTGTTATGTGAAGATTTCTCTTCCGGAAAAGGAGAAGAAGGAGCCTTTGGCAAAGTTCTCGCAGCCATTCATCGAGGAATTGATGATGATGCTTTGCCGAAGCCATCTTGTCGCATCGTCGTCTGATGGCTATGCATGCTACCGTTGCACCGATTGCTACGGTTCCGGCTCCTCGAGGGACTTTTCCAATGCTTCCGATGTCCTAGCGCATTACTCTTCGGAGCATCCAGACACAATCATCAAGCACATTGAGAAAGCGACGGAGCGCAAGGTTCCTGATTTAGACGACCAACTTGCTGAGGTTGAAACCCCGCTCCATCCCTCCCAAGACGAAGGCGAGGACGTCGACCAGGCGGGAACTGCTCCATGCCAAGATACGCAGGACGCTGACGCACCTATCTCCAAGGCATCGCAGCCCGCTAAGCACATGGCGCAGGATTCTCCACAGAGAGTATCTCCGCGGGTGTCCCCTCAGCCAGTGCCCCCTCCGCAGCAAGCAGCCCCCGAGCCAGTGGCTCAAAATCACGGAGAGAACGGTCGTGTCGCAAACTCAGAACGGTCACATGTTTCATCGCCTTCATTCAGGCCCCGAATTGATAGTCCCAACGTCGGCAATAGTGTAGAGCCCAAGAGAACCGGTCGCAGATTCCAGCAGGACCGGCCTTTTTGAGGAATTCTTTTCTACTTCCGTGGACCATTTACACGATATGAGAAAGGAATTTTCAACTTTCAGACGGTAGTAAATCAATCTTTTCAACTATTGGCATTACTACATGTTTAACCCTAAAACAAACCGACGCGAACTACCAATGCCTTCAAGACTTGAAATCTTCCAAGTCAATAGCCGCATTGGTGAGCGGCATCTTCCCCCCTTCGCGCCTGACTGTGTCCAGTACCACAGTTTCCTCATTGCTCAATACGGTTTTGGTATATCGGTCACCTTGAGTGCGTCAATGGAACGATTCTCGCCTTCCCCTGCTTGCACTGCGTGTGCGAATGGGGATAGAATGGTGTACTCTGCACTTACGGCATCTGAAAGTCGCTGTGGACAGCCCAACATCTGCTTCAATGCAGTAATCGATGATGACACGGGCCTTCTTGCTTCCCATACCCATGAACGGCTTCTTTTTCCGATGACTCTTCGGAGATGCCTCGGAAAGGTCCAAAATGAGGTTCGCGGTCGGCGTTACCGAGTTCGAGTCTAGGAACTGGATCAGCTCATCTGTCGGCGTTGGGCACCGTCCACACTTTAGGAATTCAAAGTTAAGAGATAATACATACTACGAAACCAAAAGGTCGGAATTGGCTCAGTGAAGGTCTTCATGATTTCCAACCGAACGACACGCTTCTTCTGTTCAATATCGGCATCAAAGGTTGTGCTGAAGTTCACAGAGACAGGATTTTTATCTCTTAGAACGTCGTTCTATTCGAATTATCAGAGAACACCCGCGAAGACTGGATTGGCAATGACGCTAATGAGACATGGCATGACACACCTTTCGCACAAACCAACGGACATAGTCTTCAATCCACTTTCCGTCCTGAGAAAGTTTGGAAAAGGGCTTGGCCTCTTTCACAAGCCAATCGACGTTGCTTCCATTGCGCTTGATCCGACATGGGAGCCCGAGAGAGACGCGAGAGTGGTGCTGGGAGAGCATATTCTTGCCGTGGTTCAGGGATTGGCGAAAGAACTCGACAATTCCCATGCAGACTACCATCTGGCCATCAATTGGCTGCCACATATTTGTGTTGACAAGCCTGGGATTATTGGAATCTTGAACGTGCCTCTTGATCCTGTCATAGACGTATGTCGAGCATCCTAGGCCACCAGAAAGGTAGATATGATTCTAGATAGTAAACTTGTCAGAAGTAGGACTTCGAGCAGAAGGGACCTGAATGCAAACCTACGACCTCGGGTTGTCTGCCGCTCTTGACCGGTTCATTGACTATACGGTCTAGCAAGTCGAGAATTTTGTTGATGTTTATATCAAAGAGCGCTCTCAATCCGCCTCTGCGTGTATTGTTAAAACAGGCTTCGCCGATGTAGGCTGAATGCAGCAAGGATGAATACTGAGGCTGCTTACATAGTGAACCGCATCTCTCCATTTAAAATTCCCAAGTCCGAGTTATTGAATGACTTGTCAAGGTGAGGGATGACAATAGAGAAGAAGTCTTCGTCGTCGCGGGTGTCAGAGGTCATTTCCCTCTTTTTCGACTGGATAGTCTCGCTGGTCATCATCGTGGTTCCGAGGTCCTCTAATGTAGTATCATCTAACTCCCCTGTGAGTCTATCGGGAAGGACGAGATTATGCTTGATAGACTCGAGGCGAGTAAGGATTTCCTCTCTAATACCCCAGTCGATCAGCGCTGATCCACATTTCTTGCCTGGAAGCTGTTCAGCATGCTTGATATGAGTGCAACAGCGACTGGATACCTCTGCATACCTTGAACAGGTGTGACTTCAGCCATGCTTACTTGCATGCGCTCAGAGCTCTCGACGATAAAGAAGGCAAGGTCCTGTGACATAAATGAACATCTATGGTCTGGAATTATGGGGAAATAGTCAGCCGAAGCCTACCACTGTGCCTCCACCAGCATCGATGACTACCATGCTTTGGCCATCCTGAGAATATTGCATTAGCAAAGTTGCTCATCAACCTATGACTTGCAGAACTTGTACCCACCTTGACGAACTCATCTTGCGACAAAGTGAAAGCTGCTACTGCGTGTGGCTCTGGCAGGCTCGCCTCAACCGTGAAACGATTACTACTCCCGAAACCAGCTTGCCTGGCAATAGCCACGAATTCGGATCTCGAAGTAGCATCCCAGGTAGTAGGCACGCTGAAGTGGAAGTGAATACAACAGTTGGTCCACGACTTGCCCCCCAGCGTTCCGCCGGAGAAGTGGCCTTCCAGCTTCTCATACAGGCATTTCAGGAATTGCTTGTATAGGACTGTAGCGTCTGCCCGTGCCTTGGAATCCACTTCTGGATTGCAGAAGCTGGTCTTGAAGAATGTCTTGAGGTGGCCATCCCTCTCCGGGGTGCACTCAAACCCCCAGTTCAGAGGCTTAACGTTGAAGCTGTCCGGATGTCGAAACAGAAGCTGCGTGGGGACTTTATCGGCGACTTTTCTCGGGCCCCATTCCTTGAAAGGCAATGTTCTCGGGCCCTGCAAGAAGTTGACGAAGGACACTCCAGTGCCTACACATCGAGGGGGAGTGAGCTGACTGGCAAATGCGAGATGTCTGGGGCAACGAACTCACAGGTCATTCCCACATCAATGCCGAATAGAAGATCGGGCTTTTCTTCCATCTTAAAGATCGTCCCAAGTTGTACGGCAAATTAGTTAACAGGCTCGTGGAAGCGGAATATCTTGCGTCACTTTACAAAGTCGAGAGAAGACTGGCTGGTTGCCCCATGGACCCTTTATGCTTTCGCTTCCAATCAGGCTCTACTACATCCCCGACTTATGTTTATACAAGCCCGGTGGCGCAAATTTCCCAGCCAAAGTACCTGGATGTACCCAGAATGTATCGAAGCCGACTAGCTCATAGCTTCAGCCTCAGCCTAATTTTAGCGGCGCTCTTTAGTGTTCATGCAGAGACATGGGAAATTCGAGTGACTGAGAGTTCGCACCCCTTGCTGCCACACCCTCACCGTCGCCCTTACCCCTCCACCCTCCATTACCTTTGCTCATTAACCGAGCATAAGCAGGCTGCCTGAGTTCCGAGTCCTGACTCCCTTTCGCAGCCAAAAAATCAGGATGATCCGACTTTTATATTCTCTGTCGTCAATCCCGTACTCCAACACCACAACGTTTTGGTATCCTTTTCTCGTTGAACAAGCAATGGCCGCTCGAAGAAACCCCCAAGACAGCACTTCTGGCTCAGCTATAGGGGCCAACACTAGCCTTGTAACCCTCCCTGGGACTGTTCTCGTGCAAAATGGTCTGCAATTACCGACAAACCCAATAAACTCGACACTTACACTTCAGGGCCCGATCGTAACGGTGAGCCTCGCGACACCTACTCAGACCGACCCTCCGGCTTCTAAAAAAACAAACCAAACCGATAATTCTAATAAGAAACTTTCTCCTACTAGGGCCGCGGGTGTTAGCATAGGTACTACCTTGGGCATTCTTCTTTTAGCCTCCGCGGTAGTTTTCTTCCTCCGTCACTACAGGTATCGCAAGCCGGAAAAGATTAAGGCTACCGGCACACGCCCTCCAAGAGACCTCAGAGAAACGATGGGAATTTCAGAAGACCATGAGCCCCCCTATGCAACGAGCCATCTTAGAAATCTTCCAGAGCAGCTCGGAGATAATCACTACATTCGCCGCATGGTGGACCTCAAGGAGACGATCAAGAGCATTGTCGACAACTACATCATTAACGGAGAGTATCTGCAGATCAGCGCTAAAGCGGAGGAGAGATTACAACTCTTAGCGCCGTATCCAGACCATCAATCCTCATGGGCGACTACTTTGCTCGATCGGAACCGTCAACGAAGTATAACCCGATTACTCGTCGCACGAATGCTATTCGGAGGCATTAGATATAACTCTCAAGTCGACACTCCGCTACTTCCGCCGCAGCTTCTGTATATACACAGCGTAATCCGTGAGGGAGTCAGACAAGCCGCACATAGAAGAGGTACGTTCTCCCAAGTCAGATCGCACGCGGTCTCACTGGTTCTTAGTTTGCCACTAATACGAATAGCATAAATAAACCGGATCAACCATGCGGAGAATCTCGACATCTAGCGGCAGATATCTAGCGGATACATGTCTCCCGAGACTGTAACGAAACATGCTAGGTCAATAGTCGATCGTTTAGCTACCGAACTAGCCCTTTTGCTTCCTAATCAACACCGCCGCCAGGACGGATTCCGACGCAGCCTCGAGCGGCTAGCAAGAGACACTGCTATTCTGGGCCTTAAACTTTTTAAAAGTCCAGACGAAGCGATTATAGTATAGGATAGTAGGGAAGTAAGCAAGCAACTTATTATCTATCCTAGTTTAGAGTTTATAAGATTAGGCGGCAATAGTAGTAGAGAATTTTGCGAGGTAGTTAGAAGAGTCTTAGAAGTTGTAAAAAATTAGGATAAATAATTATAGTTTATTATATTCTTAATTACTTTATAAAAGGATAAATCGGCTTTTATAGAATTACTATACTTGGTAGGTTAAGCCGTCTTTTCCTCCTTAGAGAATTTAAAAAGACTTTAGTAAATAGAACTTAAGGGGAAAACTCTATTAAAGATTATAAAACCAAGAAATAAATAGAAAGTAAGTAATTTTATAAATTTTGATAAGGCGTAATTAATAAAGTTATAATACTAAAACATGAGTTAATTTAGTTAGTTTAGTTGATTTATATAATTAATTTTAGGTTCGAAGTTAAGTTGATGAAGAGTGGATTTATAATAGTCTTCTATTTTATTTATTATTGTATTTATTAAAGTCAAGTTAAGTGAAGCGCTAGTGCAAGTTGGCCATATTATGTAGCTAATTTAGTACAGAGTTCATTTAGCAAGTCCCATGTCGAGCCTATGTCCTTGCTCTTGTCTATTATCTCCTTCGCCCTCAACCCGAAGAGATCCCACACAGGGAGGAACTTCTTGTCTCTGTAGTTCTCGTCGGTGATGATGTTCTCAAATGCCCTTTTCAGACCATCCCGCGTCCGCAACAAATCGCCATACTAGGACATCTTTTTCAGTCTTTGGGCGTTGCCTGTGTGATATATCTTCACCAGGTTGACCAGGTAGAGAAGAAGGGATGCCAGCCCGTCCGCGAACACCGTGGCGATCGACGAGCCGTCACGGTACTTAAGCTTTTCGGCCAGGTTCAGGCGTGGGTTAACGTCGTCTGCGACCTGGTTACCGGGCAGGAAATAATCGATTATGCGGTGGTCCTCGGTCAATTTGTCGCTCCACCCGTAGGCGTCTGCCGCGCCGATGCGGAAGATATAGTCTTTTGCCTAGGTGTAGGGCAGTGTATCGGCGCCTTTTTTCTTAATATCATCCGAGGCCGAACAGAATATAAGGATACCGTGCTCTTTGGCGCGATCGATAGCCGTTTTGAGCGCTTTAATAGCGTCTCCGTTCCGGCTACCTGGAGGTTTCGTGTTAGACGTGGCCAGGTTGTAGATTGTCCAAGAAATAGAAATGATATCTACCTTCAAGATTATCGCATCTTCTATAGCCCTTGCTGCGCTGCCAGGATGAATGCATACATTCACCTCGTTCCGAGACCCGATGTTCGACTCATCTTGGATCCGCATGGCGTAGAGTGAGACCCAAGGGTTTAGGCGAATGATGGAATTGGCCATGATCGTCCCGTTTCCGTGGGTGGATTAGTACCATGAGGGATTCTAAAGCGAAGTTCCCATGAAAGACGTCCAGTAGCTCATTCCCATCACCTCGACTTGGTTTCGGTATGAGTTCAGGTTGGCGCGGTCGACGCCATCGTCGATAAGGGCGACCTGGTGGGGTGAGGTCCATCAAGGTCTGCTAGAGTATTACATCGGGGAAAGTAAAAGTTCGCCCTCTTTGGCTAAGATTGACGTATTTTTGCACTAATACGATAGTGTGATGTAGAGGAGAAAGCTCCAACAATTTGGTATTACTAAACATAAACACAAAAACATACTCGAGCAAGAAATAAAAACCCAATAGGCCTAAGTAAGTGACAAGACGTCGAGCAGTAAGCCGACAGACGATAAAGAATGATTTGCATGATAGAGAAACTTGGAAAAGAGAGCCGCTGCCTGAAAAGATTTCTATGTCCACGAGGGACCACCTGCTCAGGCTACGCTAAAGGGACTGCTCATCGTGGAAACACCATTCTTGGGCTTAGGCAGCATAGGAAGGAGCGTCTGAACCCAGCCCACGATCTGAGGCGCTTCGACAGAGATTCTAGAAGTGTGCTGTTAGTTTCCATGAGTAAACCTGTAAGTACTGCTTGAGCGTGAACTCACCTGCAACCGGTGGCAGTGGACTCCATTTTGGTCTTTGACTTGGACTTGGAGGAACTGTGCGATCCCGAGACTGCGAAGGGGCCCCACCCGACGGAGATATTGGCCTGGGTAGAAGAAGCCGAGACTGCACTCTCGAGCTTGGTGGTGTCTCCCGAGAACTATGCTTCAAGTCAGAATCAAGACAGGATGCGTAGTTAAAACAGAAAATGCTTACACTGAGCTCAATGTCAGCAGCAATAACAAAGGCTGTTGGGTAAGAGGAAAACTGCTGATATTCGCCCGCGAGGTTTTTCCCATTGTTGAAAGCGTCTCTCAAGACATCCTCTCCTGGAGAAATTTTGAATCTGCATCGATTTCATCAATACTTGCCACCGCTGCGATGAAAAGCTGTCACGTGCAAGCAATTGGTCAACTTACTCTCCAGAATCGAGCTCAGCGTCAGCAAAAAGCTCTGCGTGAAGCCAAGGCCTTTCAATCTCAACAACCATACAGCTCATACTAACCTCAACATCGAGGTTTGACATGGATGACATAGCCTCCCTAAAAGTTGTTAGTCATTAAATTGCACAAAGCGTGGGTCTGTAGAGCTTACGCGCTGCTTTCTGTATGGCTTGCACTAGCCGAGGCGCGCCACCAACCCCAACCGGCCTTGCCGCAGATGGAGGATGCACTCTGAGATGTCGAAGACTCGGAGTCGCTGCTCTTGCTTGTCACCTTGCACGAAATCTGAAAGGCCCATCAGCAACTATATCGACATACACAAACGTTTCCTTTCTGGTATAACCAACCTTTGTCCAGGAATCAGGACCATCCTCGGCGGCATTGCGCCAGGTTTCTTCGTTGTCGAGATCGATCACATTGCCAAGGCCTGGGTTCTTGAGACCTTGAATGATGTCAGTGGGCCGAACTCCAGAACGGCAGCGCTTGACTTACTTGGGTTAGCCAGAAGCTCATCTCCTGTCACAACAATGCCCTCAGCATTGACGACCGGCAATAACGGTGGTGCACTGATCAAAGGAGCAGCCTCGGCAGCGCTCAACTGTTTCTTGAGATCCTCGATATCCTGTGTGATCTGTGTGACCCGCGCGCCGATCCAGCTCTTAGCCTTGTTCTTGTTCTAGTCCTCATTGTCACGGACAGATCTGTTGTTTCGTTTCAAGCTGGCTTCATCATGTTTTTTCTGCTCGTCGGTCAAGTTCTTGAGCACATTTTCGGTAAGAGGGGCAGCATCGAATGCTTCCTTTAGCCAGTGGCTCTTGTTTGACCCGTTCTCGTCCTGGCCCCGGCTTTTGGCATTCTTGGTGTCCATGTCGTTGTAAACATGGGCGTAAGCTTCCTTAACCTTTTTGTTGTCGGCCGTCGAATCGCTGGACATCACTGGGAAGAAGGCGTTTTTATCGATAGCCTGAAACAATCATCAGTTCTTGATTATAATACCCAAGTACATGGTTGACTGACATCTGCAAGAGTTTCGTGTGAAACAAGCAGACCTTGCAAGCGACGAATTTCCGCACGGATCTCTGCTGGGTTGGGCTTGGCATGATCCTTTTTCCAATTGAGAGTCTTCTTCGCAACCATCGTTGCCCTGCGCTCATGTTAATCCTGGCGGTACTTGTGTGTGGAAACAAGTGAAAGGAGTGAAAGGCGTACCAGCTGACCGGCGTAAGTACAACGCCGTTGTACTCACTGGACCCATCAGAAGCGATGACAGTAAGGTTTCTGTAGGCCTCCTTGCTGTTCTCAATACGCTTCATGCCCGACGAGATGTCAACGATCCCAAAATGAAAATCCACCTAGGTAGCCCACGGCCATCAGCATAGCTTCAAGTAATGTATTGTGGCAAGTAAAGCCCTACCATGAACTTGTAACCATGAACTACCCAGTCCATATACTTCGTTTGGATCGTGTTCTTGTATTCTCGCGCGTGCTCTTGAATCCATTCATTGTACTTCTCCTGAGAGGCCTTGACCTGGGCAGTCGTAGCGCCAGCGGGTGGTGTGAGGCCCCTCAAGGTTTCAGCTTGAGCCCTCTGGTATTCAGCTACTTCCTTTGCCCACGCTGACTGTTTCATAACATATGTCTCAACCTTGGTTCGGCCGTTACCACTGGGAGTGTCGTCCGATGAAGTCAAATAACCCATTGAGTACTTGTAGCGCTCTCGGATTGTTTTGAGGCGCGGATCGGTGATATTTCCAGTCTCGTTGGATACAACACCAGAGACAGAGGCCTCAACAGGTACCAGGAGATCAAGAGCTGCGAGATAGCTTCGAGCAACAGACTTGCCCGTTTTACCGGCCTATAAGACAGTGCCACTGGGTCAGTTGCTGGCCTTTCTTGGAGACCGGTTGGGAGACTTACTGTATACTTTGACAAAGGTATCATGCCATCAACGAGTCGTGCCTCCTTCACCTGGACATCCAACGGCGGTTTAATATTCTTCGAGACATTGTAGTAGTAGTCCCTAGAATTGTGGTTAGTGCACCTGTGTTGAATGCGGTGATGTCTGCATTTACTCACTTCCAATCAATTACAGTCCCAGGTAGCGAGACAGTAAGAACTTGGTTGCTGGCAACGGGAATGGAGGACGCGATGGCGCCTCGAACGGTCTGCATCGATCAGCCTACCATCATAAAGTTACACAGGGAGTTACACGTTACCTCAGAAGCGTTAGTCATGGCCGCCAAAACCCCCTTGGCCTGGGTCTCGGTTGATGGCGCGTCCGACATAATGCCTATAATAGAGGCGATTGAGAATACGAGGGTGGTGGAGATAAATAAATTTGGGTTGAGAATATGTGAGTGGTGCTTGGGGTCTGCTCCAAAAACAAAGGTAGGGCATTGCGACCGCGATGTCGCCTGCCTTTATACCTCAATATGAGTTCTCCACCCACGTATCTCATCAAGAGTCTTCAGGTGGGAATTGCCTTGCCCAGGAATAAGATGTTATGGGACCCTAATCGTAGTCTAAACGTGTCTTCGTGATCGGCGCGTGGTCGCCCCTACTTACCTCAAGAAGTCCATTTTCAGTATGCTAACCATGTTCGTCAAGTCCTCCGGATCTCTACATCCTCATCATCACTATGGCTGAGGTCAATCTGTCACCGAGATGTGATAGAACGGTCTAGGTCATAGTGAAGGCCCCGGTTAGGTATCAGTCCGGGAGGGGACAGAATTCCTGTCGTCCATGCGCAAAAGGACCTGCCTTGACCGAGAAAGGGATAAGTCGCCTAAACCAGGAATGCTTTTGCGAAGTGCGTCGTTGGCTTGCCTCACTGAGGCCCTCAACACTGCGTATCTCGTGGACCTAGGTGGCTGGCTGAGTAGGCCATGAATTGTCTACGAGAACGAAATGATCTGACCACAATTGTGGGTGCTTATGTATAGATTTCCGAGTCTGGATAATCTTTCCGGTTAGAGGGTGCTTCGACATGGACTGGTAGTTCATTCCTCTTAGGAAGTTGCTTTGCTAGCGGATACTCTCATCTTGGACGTAGATGATGAGTGTCCACTGGAATCTACGTCCTTATTAAGACTTTTCTAATCTTATTATAATACGAGTGTACTATCTAATTAGTTAATAGCATAGATCTATAACCGGACTATGGTATTAAGATAGAACTAAATTGTCTCAGACGAGTTATATATCTGAGTGACGTATATGTTAAGTTGCTTAAGATGATTATAATTAGAAGTCTGGGGGTAAAAAGCTATAAGTACTAAGACCTATGTTTATGAGGCTGACCTATCTAAACCGCGCTATTCTTAAAATAGGATTTAGCTATACAAAAGCGATACTAGGGATACTATGTGGCTAGCTAAAGTCTGCTTTATACTATAGTAATTAGCTAGTTATTATAGTATAATATTTAAGTTATTATTTAGATATATTACTTATAGTTAAGACTTATAACTAAGAGCTTAAATTAACTTAGTAGCTAGCTAAAGCGCTAGCGCCTAGCTATATTAGCTAGGGGCTTATTATTAATTTAGTTAGTTTAACCTGCGCTAAAAGTATAATATAGTTAAGGCGCCCTAAATACGCACCTCGCACGTCTTTATTATATTTTCTAATTATAGTCTTAAGATAATAACTTTGCTCCTACTTCCTCTTCTAAATCGAGCTAGAGATTTTATTCTAAGCTAAACTTAAGTCGCCTAATTTTTCTACCTCTTGGGAAGCCTAGGTATATGTAATCTTAGGTAAGCGTGAACGTCGTACTCTATTAAAGTACGTACTTAGGGGTTTTTAGGTTCTTTTTTTTTATTTATTAGGGTGCGGGCGCGCGGGCAGTAGCGGTGCGATTTTTTATAGTTGTAAAAAATTATGGGTAGTAGGTAAGATTTATAGCTATAAAAAATCTACGGCGTGCGCTATTACTAAACCCCTCTGCCCGGAATTTATAGTTATAAAAAATTAATTATAAGTAACCGTATAGCTTATTATTAAAATTTATAGCTATAAAAAATTAACTACGAGCGACTATATAGTTCGCTATTAAGATTTATAGTTATAAAAAATTAATAGTGAGCGACTATATAGCTCGCTATTAAGATTTATGGTTATAAAAAATTAATAGTAAGCGATTAGTAAGCGTATAGCTCTCCTATCTCGAGATTTATAGCTATAAAAAATTAGTAGCGAGCGATCGGTTAGTATACGACCTATTATTAAGATTTATTAATTAAGTGCTAAAGGGTTAGGCTTAAAAAAAAAATTTGAAATTTATAAATCTTAAATACCTACTACCTTAGCTAGCTTTTTACTTACTAATAGTAAATAAAAAGAGTTTAATCCTAAATACCTATATTAACTACTTAAGCTAACCTTTTACTTGCTATTAACGAGTTAAAAAATAATTTAGGATTTATCAACCCTAACTACCTACTACTTTTACTAACCTTTTATATATTATTAGCGAGATAAAAAAATATTTAAGATTTATAAACCCTAAATACCTAGGCTAACCTTTTACTTACTATTAATAAGTAAAGAAATTTAGGTATTAAATACCTCGTTTAACTAGCTAAGCTAGCCTTTTACTTATTATTAGTAAGTAAAAGAATTTAAGTATTAAATACCTCGTTTAACTAGCCGAGCTAGTTTTTTACTTATTATTAGCGAGTAAAAGAATTTAGGTATTAAATACCTTATTTAACTAGCCGAGCTAGCCTTTTACTTACTATTAGCGAGTAAAAGAAGTTTAGAATCTATAACCTAGTTAACTTTAATTATATTTCTTATTCTAATCCCCTTAATAAATAAAAGTAATAGTAAATCTATTACCTTTCGTTTTGATTTTCCTTTTTAAATTTACTATAAAACCTTTATTATTTTAAGATTTTTTTTTATTAAAATCCTATTTATTATACTCGTTTTTATTATATTATATAGGTTTTATATAAACGGTACTCTTTTTATTAATAAACTATAAACTAACTCTATTTTTTTTTTTTAATAAACTAAGACCTCCCTATATTTTTTTAGTTTTTAATTATTTATACTACGAATTAATATTTTTTAGTAAAAATATTAAAATACTTAATCTTAATATATTAATTAGAATCCCTAGTATAATAAACTAATAAATCGTATTTAAAAATCCTCGCTCCTTTTTTAAGCTTAGCTTTTTTATAAAATAGCTCGCTAAGTAGCTATTAATACCCTTCTTTTAGCTAGTTATAAAACTATTTTTTATAAAAAGCTTTATAATCGTAGTACTTTAGGCCCGCTTTATAAATAAAGATTTTTTAAATCGACTTATAATTTCTAAAACTTATATTATTATACATATATTCGGATTTATATAGAAGCTGTCCTTATCTTAGTAGATATATTTATAATACTCTCCTATTATTTAACTAAAGAAGCTAATTTTAAGTACTCTAATTTAATAAGCGTTTCTATAAGTCCTTTAACTTTTAAAACTCCGTTACTTATTAAAAAGGAACCTACTTTATACTTAGTTAATAAGTAATATAAACGATTTTTAAAAGTTTTTTTAAATATTTAGTAACAGAAAAGTTCGTTAGGGTTAGGGTTACTTAGGGTTAGGGTTAGTTAGGGTTAGGGTTAGGGTTAGGGTTAGGGTTAGGGTTAGGGTTAGGGTTAGGGTTAGGGTTAGGGTTAGGGTTAGGGTTAGGGTTAGGG